TGCGAATTCCAAGCACATCCACATCCACGACACATCGAAAGCCCCTTTGCGCCTGGATCTCTTCTCCCCGATTCGCGGTCGCCGGTGGTCACCAGGTGGTCACCGGTGGTCACGGTCGGTTGCGAGGACCAGAGGATTCACCTCCATACAGCGTCAAGAGAGGCGAGCCTCCCCGAAGCGCTGAGTGGATCCGGAGTGGATCCGCGGCGTCGAGCGGTTGTTGCGTCGGCGTTCGATTCGTTCGATTCGTGTCGGCAAATCGTCGAGCGCAAAGCGTTTGAAGTGATTCGTCTGAAAGCGCTCATTCGTAGTCTCTTTTTTTGGGGGGCTGTGTGGTTAGGGCCAGTTGGTGTTGGATCACAGTTCTCCTGAAAGAAAAAGACGGCACCGACCTGTAAAATCTGTAGATCAGTCTTGTTGCTCAAACTATAATTTGGCCCGGAATGCCTTACACCATACCAATTGTATAACCCGACGATTTGTTTTCCTGCCTCCGTGCCACACATATGCACGATACCAGATGGCAGCTTCTCTCGGCTGCGCCACGCCGACCCTCGGGAGCGCGGCTCCGCCGAGCGCGGCTCCGCAGGCCCTCTTGAACTTCACCTTCCGGGCCAACGACCGTCCAACGACCCTGAAACGGCCGGGAGATGGAGAGTCAAATGCGAAAGCGGACGAAGCAAGCGTCGAAGCCGCGACAGCGGCTTCCACAAAAAGTCAGTTTTCCTCAGCAAATCTGTCACTGTTGATCACGAAACAGATGCGGCTTAAAATCGTTAGAATACTCCGAGGTACAGCGCAAGAACTGTCTTTTTAAAACCATATATTGCCCCCCCTTTTTATATCGTTTTGGAAGCGCGGCCAATAGCCACAGGCGGTCAATGGTAGCTTTTGCGACCTCTTTGCTCGAGAAGTGAAGAAACTGAGTTACGGCGATGCAGAAGTGAATCGATGTTTTCACCCACTTGGTGTGTCAACAAAAAGAGAAATCTGCATCATTCATGGATATTCATGGGTCATTCATCTTGCTCTCAAATTGGAAGAAACCAGCTGAGTCTTGCTACGCCCAGAGACATCTCGTCACTGCCAACGCGCCACACGTCCACGGCCCTTCCGTTGAAACCGAGGTACCGGGGTGTTTGTGTATAAGATTTATGAAGATATGGACATGAAAATGAACAGATTCTCTCTATGCTCGGGATGTCAGTCTGCCATAGAGGAGGTGGGGGGGTTCGTTGAGTTCCTGAAAGCCTCCAGCAGCTTCCTCACCCAATCACCTGCTGACCCGGGTGGGTTCACTTCGAACACCATCTCTGAATCATTCTGAATCTATCACCTGAAAATATCCTGAAATTCTATTGTATCTTCTATCACCATATAGCCAGGCATCCCAGGCATCCCGGCCCCAGCCGCATCGGCCCACCATCGCGTCGCTGCGTTGGCGCACGACGTGGCGAAATCGCCAGGTTCTACTTCACGCTCTTCGTCTCGCCCCTTCGCGCGGTGCGGCCGCCCGAAGCTTCCCTCGTCCGCGGAAGCTTCGTGGCGCGGAAGCGGCGCGGAAGCGGCGCGGTGCCGCCCGAAGCTTCGCGTGGCGCGGAAGCTCCGGCGGAGTTGGGAAAAGCACCAGTCACAGAGTTGGGTGGTGCTCGTCCCCATCCAGTGGGTGGAATTACCCCCGTCGTCGGACCCCGACATGGAACTTCTTTTTGGGTCCGGGTCTCGATGTGTCCGAACATGAGTCGATATTTGGTCCTTGAGGACCCGGAGCTGGTGGTACATCTCCCCAACCTAAGGTTCAAGCCATCTAATATCATCTACTTCATGTTTTAGGAGAAATTCTTAGGGTGAAGCAGTGGAGGCATCGATAGGTCGCGGACCAACCACCAGGTGTGCTGTGGCATTTTGTTTGGGATGGTTTTTCTCCAGTTTAGGACGTCATCACTGATTCGATCACAGATTCGATCACTCCTTCTCAATCATTTCAGTACACCAACCCAGTGGATGCGGAGGACACATGCGGGAGGATTTCTTTTCCTGGCGGCAACACCGGTGATGAAGACCTCCACAAAATGAAAACACTCGGAAAGCTCGACATGGTTTTACCATGTTTCAAATGATCACTTCCAACACCAACTCGGAAAACCCGACATGTCATGTCATACTCATACACTCCATGGGACTGGAATATATATGCCTACATTGACCCCCCTGGCACCACCCCTGGCCTGATCGGAAGTCCTATGGCAGTCCCAGACGGGTCGTGTCGAGTTTTCGATCTGTCATACCGCCCTCGATTCCTTTCGAACTGGCGATGCCCTCCATGCCATCACACGCTCCGTCCAGGTGCGTGTGTGGAACTTCTCCCGGTTCTGCTGGGCCGGAACCGCCTGGAAGGGGGTGGAGGTTGGTCGCTCATCGAGGTGGCAGGCTTGACCTGGCAGGTGGTCATTTTCAATTAAAGGCTGTTGTGTTTTTCGTTCCAAGTGGGGTACTCGGGGTACAATCTGGAGGAAAAGCACCAAAAACGCTTTGACCTCAATTTTGCAAGTCTTCGGACAGACGACTTCAGGATGACAGACGACAGGTGAGAAGAGGATGGTGTAGTTGGACCGTGGCCCAAAGATCTGTTTAGGACAAGTGGGTGTGTGGCATCCATATGAGCCTTATGAACATGGAAGAACAAGCGGACATGGTTTTGTCCCAAGAGGACATACTGGGCAAGTCGACGATCATCCAAGTTTGCGGAGAAATTGATCTTGAGCACCTGGTGACCCTGGTGCAGGGTGAACAATGGTGAACATCTCAGATGGATCCATGCTATCCAATGCCCAGTGTGTGGCATGTACATAGTTTGATGAATATAATATAGATGTACCTCGTTCAAGAGTATCAAGAGTCCTTGAAATATTGTATGTTTTGGGACTCTTCATACTCTTGATACTGGTGCACCATGGCGGCCCCCGAATCATCCCATGCGATGGGAGCAGATCAGAAAATCAGTTCTACCAGCAGTCACAAGACAGGGTGTTTAATGGAGGGTAGGGTGCCTATTATCCACTCACTTAGGGACTAAACACCACCCGTTTGTGACTGCTGGTATACGTTGTTTTTTTTTTTTTGAATCTTTATGTTTAAATCTGTTTGACGGTTCTCAATCAGTTCTACTTTCTCCAGAGTTGAAGCGATATTGAAAATCATAGATCTATCTAAACCTGGACCATCCAATGGGTGTCCTGGCTGGAGATCCCTGACCAGTGTAGGTTAGTCCAGATGGTCGGATAGTGCTATGGGATTCGTGAAGATCGAGGCCCAAAGAGGCCCATCGAATTCCCTACCTAGCTCACCAATGTACGAACTTCACCTGACAAATCCACCCACGTCAGACTCATTTTTGCGGACGTTCCAAACTCATTTTTTGCGGAGGTTGAAATCTTTCTAGTGGTCGTCGTGGATGTCTCTAAGCCGAGCTTGCCAGAAAGGCTGATTGACTCTGCCTGGAACTAACATGGAAGTGGACAACCACCTGTTAGTGGATTTCATGGTCTTCCAACGGGGCCATTGTCAGGGTCCATGTTAGGTTTTTGGGGAGTGTATAAGCAAAAGGGAACTTTGCAATACAGGAAACCCCCTGGACCCCTCTTCCACCTTTCCGATCGGCAAATCTCCTTTCCGATCCTCAAGACTCAGCGGTTTCTGCGGTGGCTTCTGCGTGTTTTTTCTTGGGGCGGTTTCCGCCGTGTCTGGGCGTCTCCATCCGAACCGTGGATCTCTCTGGGCGTCTCTGGGATCATGGGTTTCCACCCGTCTCTGGGATCAAAAAAAAAGTGAATCACTCAGGATTTGGCCTCCGACGTGGAGCATCTGAGCCAAAGCGAGGCCGGTTGCGGATGACATGGGGTTGTAAGCCGTAAGCCAAATAGGGCCATTTCTTCAGGGATGAATCGGATCAATCAAAGATCTTTCAAAGACAAAAGCAAACAATGAACCCACATCTGTGACATCAATCTAAATCCAGGTACTAGGTATGGTGCACTACCATGGGAATCGATCCTCATCATTGGTCAATTTAGTTATTTTTGTTTGTTTAATGAACACCTGGAGGCAATATGTAGCGGTTTGATCCCCAGATGGGGTTGTTTCAGATGGGAGACTTGATTGGAGACCATGCAACCAGTGGGTCTTTGGTGATACGGGGAAGACATCTTTGAAGGTCAACATGGAACCTAATCGCCACTTATTGAAGAAGAAACAGAGTAAGAACACAGAAGTGAACACAATATAAAGTATAATTAATACAATATGATGAGATGTACTCCCAATGCGGGGAGTACATCACGTCAATGGAGATCGGGGATTTGTGCAGAATGGGGATCACTCCTGATTTCCGTCTCCTGACAAAATGAGTTGTTGGTTGTAAAGTATCCCCTTGGAAGATGACTTTGACTATCGACTACTCACGAACGGAGAGCTTCCAGCTTCCAGCATCCACCTGAAGGATCCAGATTCGGGCCTGACGTGTAACTGTCAATGAAGCACTTCTTCAAAGATTCGGGTTGATCCTGGTTTGACGGAGACATCATTCATCTTGTATCTTAGCGAGAAAGTCCATTTTGCTGTTCCAGTGAAGGAACAGTCCACCATGACAAACATGGGTTATATCCAGCTACTGTAGCAGCCAAATGGTTTGGATAGACAATTAACCTGCAAAGGTCTTCTCGTAGTGCCATGATCTTTTCATGCACTTTTTTGTAGTTGCCAAATGATATAAGTCGTTCGATTCTAAGTCCTTATCGCACTCGAGGCATTGAGGTTGGCATTGAGGTGGGCATTTGAAACGGTCGTACCTCCGTTTCGGCGTTTCTCTTTGCAGCCTCGGTCCAAGTGAAAACTGGGCTGCAGGTCCACCAGTTCAGCCCTCCATCACCAGTTCAGTTGCAGTTCGAAGATCGGAAGGGAGAGCCTTGAGGACCTGCGGCTTCCGCTTTGGGGCCATAGAGATGATGAATCTTTGCGTTTGGTGCTTCATTGGCGCAAGCGTCGTGTGGGCAGATGAGAGGCCGATGAAAAACAGCAGCCTTTGTGTTTCGAACCGTGGCTTGCCTTACAACAGAGATTTGTGCATGTGGTATGGCCGAGACAGAGGATGTAATTGGCAAGAAGGCGCTTGCCGCTGTATAGAGGGTGGAGTCTTTTGGAAGAGTGCTCGTCGATGCTGGACCCAAGGGCAAGGCGCCACTCAAAGTACAAGTCCACCACAGCCGCTTGCACCCTTGCCCATCGCCAACGACAGCGTGTGTGTCTCCAACAAGGGGCGTCCCTACTCCAAATCCGATTGTGATTGGTATGGTCCAGAGCTCAAATGCATTTGGAAGAATGAGATTTGCCAATGCGAGAATGGAGGAATCTATTCCAAGACAGGACGTAAATGTTGGCCGCGTGAGGAGACGACCACGACCACCACTACAAGTCCACCTGCACCACCCATGCCGCTCAGCAACGGAAGTGTATGCGTCTCAAACAAAGGTCGACCATACACCAAAGAGCTTTGCGAGTGGTATGGCCCTGCCCGCGGGTGTATCTGGCTGAACGAGGTTTGCCAGTGCAAAGATGGCGGAACGTACTCAAAGACAGGCCACAAGTGTTGGCCAGCAAAGCCGCCCAGCCCTGAGACAACCACTACGAGTACAAGTCCACCACCCTCCTTGCCGATCGCTGATGGTAGCTTGTGTGTGTCCAACCATGGAAAAGCATACAACAAGGCTAACTGTGATTGGTACGGAGCACCCAGAGGATGCGTTTGGCTGCAAGAACTCTGCCAGTGCAAAGACCACGGCTTCTTCTACTCCAAGAGTGGCCGGAAGTGTCGGCCGGCGCTGACCACACGCCCACCTGGAGACCTGGCGAATGCGACGTCGGCGCGAGTTGTGGGGATGACCGACACCTGGTAGGTTGACCCACAGCCATGTCTCACTCCACACTGTCACGGATTTTCGACTTGCACACCTAGAATAGAAGATGAGACACGAAACCGGTCACTGTCAAGTTTCGTGCTGTTATTGTACTCCATCATACTACCCTTCAGGCCGACGTGATCTAAGGAACGCATCCATCCTTCTTCGACTGGCTGGTTTCGTGGTTCCCAGGACCCCAATGGCTGAATTGGATCCTGGACATCATGATTAGCATCCTGGCTGCTTCACGGACCGGCGTTGCGCGCGCGCGCGCGCGCGCGCGCCTGCGGGGACAGACCTGCGGGCCTGCGGGAGGATGTTTTCTGCGTTGAGGTTCTAACTGTTCTAACTTCCATTGATTGCGACGGCTTTCACAAGTGCGGGCCCACCGAATCAAGAGGCTCATCTGTTGCAATGGCGAGGCATATTCTCTGTGAGAACTCCTGAGAATCAGGGTGCCACAAAGAAGGGATAGAGAGTCTCCATGCGTATCAGAGCGCCAAGCATGAACGAAGACGCCGATGGGATGGCCAGGGGCACGACTCGTCCGGGTTCTTCCTGACTCGGTCCTTGGGCCGCCTGTCCTCATCGTCGCCCTGTGCTGGGTCCACCAAGGCATGTGCGCGTGTGGAACCTGTGCATATCCCTACCGCCGACATCTCCAGCATCGGTTGGTGGATCGGATGGGCCGGGCCGGTCTTCTCCAACTTCAAGGCACTGCCAGGGAAGCCATTTTGGATGCTTGCCTGGATAGACTCCACAGTAGCGCGCTAGTCGTTTCTACAGTACGCATAGGATCCTCTTATATACCTGGACCTTCCACGGGTGTTTTCTGCCGTTTGGCGAAACAGCACAAATGTCAGTCGTTTGCCGTCAAAAACGCGGTTTCATTTCAAAAGTGCCGTTTCGATGTGTTTACAAAGGTTACCAAACTAGCAGTTGGCAAAGGTCGCCGTTTGGTCGGGGAAAGTCGCCGTTTGGTCGGGAAAAGTCGCCGTTTCAAGACCTTGACATACCATCGAAAACATGGCAATGCAAAAAGTGCTTCAGTATGCTTCAGTACATAAATAGTTGGCGTTTGCTTGAAAAAGCAGTTTTGATTGAAAAGGCAGAAAAAAAAGCATACTTATGAAGACCCAGGTATATATATAGCTGTTATAGCTCTGATGCCTTTACTTCGCCTGCAGGAGCAGTGGTGTTACCCCCACTACCGCCTATAGCTGCCATCACTCAATGCGGTTGTGCTGTGAGATCTAAGGATCAACGTGATCAAAACCACGTGGAAGTTGTTGGCGTTGGCCCTTTGAGCATTCCATCGCCCTAGAGCTGTCTTCGCCACCGTTGGCACACGCACACGCGAGCCCGTGCGTGACAGAAAACTGAGTTTGTTCGGGTGTTGGGTGTTGGACTGTTGGAGCATATGGAATACACAATGATACACATTACAAGGACTTGCAAGTGTTTGCAAGTGAATTACCTATATATATATATAGTTACCAGGATCCTTATAGCTTTGTTCCTTCATGAAGGTTTTGGAGGGTCCTAGTTCCTAAGAAGGTATTTTGCTACATTTGACCTCTAGTGAGACAAGAGCTTCTTTAAGAACCGTCATCCGGTGACCAAACAAGACCCGTTTCACGCGTCCTTTGCCTGGAATGCTCAGGTGTTGGGGTGGACATGTGTTGAATTTGCCTTGGAAAGTGGAGACGTTGTATGTCATAGCCGGGCAGCTGTACCCATGATACGATCAGCAACAAAACTATCCAACAGTTCAGCTGAGCATGAGGGTCAATGGTCCGTGTTTTTCTTCCCAATTGCTTGTATGTGTGTATGAGAGGTTCTTAGGATGTGCAAAGCCCTTGCTAAGTTCAGAATTGGTGCATCAAAAATTGATGCATGATGCATATTGATTAAGCCAGAGGCCATCGCCATTAGGTTGGAGGCCATCGCTATTAGGCCAGTGTATGTTTCTGTGTGTTCTATTCAAATTACTCAGAGAAACTTTTATGCTCGAGCAGTCCATGGGACGATGCACAAGACGCATGTTCAACAGGTGTTTTTCTTGAATACGAAATGGCATTCGCAGGGGCGCGAAGTCCTTCTACGAAATGTTGGCCTGAGTCAAGGTGGAGAAGGTGTGGAATGCTTCGCATCTGATTTAAGTGACATCACATCTTACACCAATTGGTATAATTGGTGACATAGATGTGCCACATGGTTTAGTGACATCTGAAAATACGTGACACATGGTTTGGTACATCGCTTATGCTTCCATCGCATCGGCTTCCAGACGTTGGAAGACCGGATCCGTCGGCTGGAGGTGAAGCATAACAGGGTTCCTGCTGGGTGTGGATGAAAAGAGGATGACAGGAACTTGAATAGTACATGACATAGTATGTTCATAGTATTTTGTTGATACACTTGGCTCATTTGATGCACTTGCTCATAGGATGCCCTGCCTAAGGGTGCCTAGATGGCCTTCTCCAGCCTCGGTTTGTGCAATTTGCTCCCTTTTCGCTGGTCTCTCGACCTCGTGATTTCCTCGGAGACGACCTCCGATCCTCCCAGAGATCAGACTCGACCAAGACACGTCGACTCCTTGTTGACATATCCCAGACACGACCCATGGGACTGGCATATTTACCAATCAGGCCAGGGGTGGTTGAAAAGGGATCAATGGGGCGGCATATATTGCAGTCCCATGGAGTGTCTTGGAGTTTACATGTTTTTCGCCAAGTTTTGCGGCCACCATGGGGCGGTGAATCTTCTTGCGACCCACTGGAAGACTTCAATGCGCTGCGATCTTTTCTCTCCAAAAAGATCACTCCCAGTTCGCAGCGCGTCCGCGTCGCGCAGACCGGCGCAAGCGCGCGGTGAGCTTCGAGTTCCAAGCGACGAGCAACTTCATGGTGCCTTGGCCGACTCGGCGGTCCAAATCGTTGAGAAACCAGTCTAGAAGGGTTGACTACTTGGATTGGAAAGGGAAGTCCTCTGCAAAAAAGGAACAGAAAACAACTGACACATTGGATTGGCCATGCATATATAGCTTACTTAGACTTCCTGACGGATCTTGGATTGCAAGCAGTCTTCAGAAAGTGACTTGCAAGCAGTCTTTCTGTGGTATATTTCAGGATGGACTTCTTTGGGGTTGACAACAAATCACAGTCAAAGATGGCAAAAGACTCACACGTTGGCGATGGAGGCCGGTTCAAGTGATTGCACCTTGCACCTGCCTGAATTGCAGCTAATAGGCTCGTTGATTTGGCACAAGTCTGTAGAAATGACATGAGCAGCTTGGAAATCAGTAATTAGGATGGCTGCTGCGCGAATCGTGTCGGTTTGTAGAAACCCACGCAAGGGCCCTCGAGTCCACTGGCCAAGACCAGGGGTTTCGTAGCGACGTGAACACGTTAACGATGATTTGTTTTCATGGTGGCTCGGGTCTGGAAGTAGCCTAAGGGAAGCAGATCGATCCATGTTTGTCGTTCCAACAAGCCTGTCGTTCTGGTGTTTTCCAGGGACAATCTTGATCTGTGCTTCAGCACCGTTCAGAACACCGGAGATCAAAGATGGATCATGGAAATCCGAGCATCATTCTGGCTTGATGGGAACGCCGACAGATCAAAACAGGTTGTGGTTTCAGATATAGCCTGGATCATCCTGGATCTTCCAACTGTGACAATGTCTGCCTTTCATCCATACAAAACAGCCCAAAGGCAGACATTTGGCATAGTTGGAAGATGCAGGTATATGTTTATTGTCAACCTGGCATGGTTGAACCCACGTTTCGTTCCATATGTTTCGTTCTGTTTCGTTGAGCGTCACCCACCATCCCAGTCGCATCGCCGATCGCCGGTCACGCCGAGGTGTCCATCACCCAAGGTGGACTCAAGAAATGGTCGGGGCAGTCGGCGTGTATTGGGTCTGGAACTTCACCTGTCACAGATATAACAGTCAGTATACGCAATTTTGATCACTATGGAACTGAACCAGGCCTGCAACTGAAGCATCATCATCCACTGAAGCCTGGTATCAGGATAGACCCAAGGACCCAAGGTGTGTAATGGGGAGACCCTCGAGTCCTCTGGCCCCGTTAGACTATGCTAGACTAGTCGGTCAGGTGTCCGGTTTCCGGTGTCCAACCAACTGGTGCTTGCACCGGTCGACTTGGTCCTTACGCAGGGACGCCTCCTGGCATTCTTTGGAAACCCCGGGTCTCTCGTTCCCTCGATCGGGAGTACGTGTTTCACCTTCTTCAGGTCTGTTTGCGTCCCACGGTGTCCAGTCGGAATTGGAGGCTTCAAGGATACTGGTCATGGTGCCAAGAAACCATGCTTTTTATAGGCACTCTATTCTGGTCGTGACGGAGTGTTTTGTTGGGATCGTGGATTCCCACCTGTTTGTTGCGATGACCTGCGATGACCTGACGCAGGACCTTCATGACCAGGTCCAGCGTTTCTCCAGTCCTCGGTGTAGCTTCGATGTGACCTCGTTCGGATGGGTCGACGTCCCTCGTTCATTCGGCTCTGACAGGTCAGAGTCCCAGACTGACCGGTTTTGAGCCAAGCTGATGAAGATTCATCCATATGAAAAGGGGGTTCAATCCAAATGGAGTGGGTATAAATCAAGAGTCTAGTCTATACATGATGTGTTTGCTGTAGATCGGGCGTGATGGAATGCAGGGATCCAGCCTTCTTGGACCCAGCTGGGATCCATTCAGTTCGGATGCTGTGTTGGGTCATTTCTTCCCAACACCGGAAAAAACCACTCCGGGCCGAACCCGCCGCGGCACCGATCGGCCGGCGGCAGGTGATGAGGACGACCGAGGGATGGAGATGTTTTTCAGCGGCCAACAGGTGGTCAGCGAGGTGTGCGAGGCGGGTGACCTGCGCGGTGGGACGGCGAGCGGTCCGCCGTTCCGGTGGGATGAAGGATGCGGGGTTTTGGGGATCTTGAGGTGAGGGTTTTGGAGGCCAGATGAGGATAAGGTAGGTGGAGAATCTCGTTTTGGGATTGAAGATCAGCCCCGGATGGATCAGCCCCGGTATGCGAGAGGTGAGTGATTTGGCCAGAACATCAGATGAAGGATCACTCGTTATTCGGTCAACGGTTTTGTCAATCTTTCAACAACCTATCAGCCATTCTGAGCAGATGGGTGCTGATGGGCGTGTATGTCTCAAGATAGGGTTGTAGATAGGGAGTCTCGCACTGCTCAGCCGGATTTGCAGGTCGAGACAGGGGGTTCAGTGAGATGGATCCAAATGCACACACCAGCAGCAGCCTTTTGAGCGATGTGATTTCAGAAAACATGTCCGTAAATTCTGTTGTTTTGGGAGTTGTTGAGGGTGGTATCTCGTTGGTGCATGTTGGTGCATTCATTTTTCCAGCACTGGGCGACAAGGTCTCCGGGCATCTTAAGGATGGCATGACGGTGGAGATCATTCAAGGCACCCGGCGGCCAACCGCGTGCTTGCATGGACACCTGGGCGTTTGGACGCCCCGCCGGTTTCTCCGCGTTCTGTCGATCACAACGTGGACGATTTTTGGGTCTGGTGAACATCAACTGATCTGATCAACATCGCAACTGTTCACGTGAACAACATCGCCCTCAAACCACCTGAAATGGTCAACCACAGATCAACGAGAAATGGTCCCAAACTGAAACTGACACGTGAACAAGGACAGCAGATTAGTTGAAGACTTGAAGACTCACTTCTTCGGGGAGCCTGCAGGGGAGACGTGGAAACCAATTGGTGCGTCTCGATGAGGAGTCATGAGGTTTGTTTACTTCGACTCTCCAAACTCCTCACCATCCATGTAACCCTAATTATGCTACGGTTGCTGCACAAGATGTTTTAGCTGCACCACCTGGGGAGAACCCAGTTCCATTGAGTATCTATATTATACTATAAATATATAGATCGATCTATATATAATAAATAGAAGTGGTTCCAGTGTGCAGTACAGTCCATCAACAGATACTCTTTGTTTGCAGTAACAAACAACAACGCTGGAGATATCTTGCCACGCGCTGGGACACGCACCGGGACCGTGGCTTGTTGGGTCCCTCGTTTTGGAGCCATGCTCGTTCAACCACGGCCATTGTCTTCTCCACAGCCATTCTCGTGTTACAAAGAAAACTTTCACTTTCACTTGCGCACAGAGCAATCCAGCGCAGCACAGCGAAGGCGCGCCTTCGCTACAAAAGAAAACACCTTTGAACCACCAAGTTGGACATGTTGGACGCCTCTTGGTCCGCGCCTTTTTTTTTGCCAGGTGAATTCAAAGGCTATCGCGGCAGAGTTCGCCTGGGCGACGGGCGATTCCAGGCCGATCGTCGTTCCCGTCTTCACGGAGTGAGAAGTGGCGCGGGAAGCGAGTTTCGGAGAACTCTTCGTCACAGCAGTTGACAGAGTTCTTTTTTCCTTTCTCTCACACTCACTCTCAAGGGCTCTCACTCTAGACCTCTGAAAGCTCAGAATGAAAAAAACTCTCACTCTCACTGTCTCCCCGTCCGTTGTCCCAAAGAGAGGCGACGTAGGAGGCGAGGCAGGTCGCCAAGACGCACCGACACAGCAACCTGACACACCTCCCGACACGCACCTCTGTGCCGGGCTGTTGGATTTGTTGGGGCCAAGACTTCACCATTTCAATTGAGGATTCTCTAATCCTCAGGTTCGGTGGGAACAGACCCCCCTGGCACCCACAACCACCTTCGAAGCGGAGGTGGTTGGAGTCCTATAGGCTATAGGCCTCCAATGCTACAGCATGTTACAGCATGCCACAGCACCAAACTGAAGAAGTTCCAGTTGCACCGCATTTGCAGGTGCAACTGGCCAATGGCACAAAGCTCCAGGTCCACCGGCTGTGGGGCTGTTGTTTTGGGTCGGGCAGATGGCGGATGTAGGTCTGCAGGATTGACCTCCCCATGTCCCCCATGTCAAAGGTGTGGGATTTGAGTATACCTCTCATGGATCCCAATGAGTTTCCATATGCTTTCAGCTGGTTGATTTGTGGTGGTGTGTGGTCTGGAAGGTTTCCATCGATCTGACCTGACCTCCATCCCCTGACCTGCCACCTCGGTTGCAATACGGTTGGCAGCGCACCAACAGGCCAGGCGCAAGGCTACATCAGGTGTGGACGTCTACTTCCTACCGTCCGACGGCAGAAATCGCTTCGCTTCCAGTCAAAGATGTTGCTTGATGTCCAGGTTGCGATTTGGAGTTCCACCTACTGCCCCCATCCATCCTGCGCCCATCCATTGGACCCTAGGGACCACGCGACCACGACGGCGACGCCTCGTCAGCGCCTGAGGTTGGAGAGTTGCAATGCCGCATCCTCGAGGAGGTCGGGCTGCCTAGAGCTCGGGCAGTTTTGGTGGTTTGGAGTTGTTTTTTTTTTTTGTCTAGGCAGTGCAGAGTGTGGGAGTGTGAGGGCGACATGGAGAGTGGGTGAATCTACTTGGTCGTTTCTAGACCATGGTTTCAATGTGGTTGCTACACATACCAAGCTGGCAGGGTTAGGGTACTTCAACGTCCCAAACTTGGGAGTTGAAATGGATTGGATGAAGCCAAACTTCAGCACCTTAGATCCAAGCAATCTCCTACAGCCTGGGCAGGACTTGCATGTGCTGGAGTCTGAGTGGAAGGCGGAGCATTTGCAGCACCGCTGTGTGCGGAAGCCCGGCACTGCAGCCTTCCTTCTTCAGAGATCCCACCGCAGAGATGTTTGAAAACCAAGGCAAATCTTTGGAATAGCCATCTCGTTGGGTATATCCCTCGAAAGGGGATGGTGGATAGTTCCCAGCCAACGCCTGGTGCAATGTGATCTATTGTGATCTATGATATATTGTATTCTATTGTATTCTATTTTTGGATATTTTTGGTCATGCTCTTTTAACATATCCATTTGCGAGACTCTCATCTTAAAGTTGTTGTTCAGAGGGCCATTATACGGCTATTTTGGGGACCAACATGGGCTAACTCCCCAACATGAACACCATGCTAACCAGGGCCAGGATTAAGACATCACCGTTTTCCAATGCTTTCCATACCCTCCTATGCCTTGGTAGCGAAAACATTTCGACCACATATGTCGAACAAAACCACGGAGAACGCTTTGTTTCGACTTGAACCAAGAAAGACCTGGCGTTCATCTAGGACACCTATCCTGGCTAAACAGCTTACAGATTCCACACCAAGAGCCTCCTGCAGTAGCCCTAATCGTCCAGTCAAGACTTCTTCTTTGAAGACTTCGACGGACGCTGGATGCTGGAAACCTCGATGCAGGAGAAAAAACAACACGAAAAACTCGTGGGTGACGACTACAAGTCCATGAAAACACCTCTGAACATCTCTCCTGATGATATACACCTTAAGAATCTAAGAACCTAGAACTATCAACCGTTGTATATCTGTTGTTTTATCTGTTTCTCGATGGATGCCCGAGTGCCCGAGCTCTTTTCTCAGGAAGGTCTAGTGGATGCCGAGAGGACCTGCTCCCAGGCGGCGGTCCTCTGTTTTGGGGTCGTTGGGTCCTGAGCGAAAGATGTCACAGGTATGTTGTGGATGTTTAAACCGACGTCTATATTAACATAAATGTTCCCAAGAAGTCAAGCCGAATCATGCTTTTCTACGAACCAATTCAGAAAAGTGGGGGGTATCTCTATAATATATATATATACTTGTTGACTGGCAGGGTCTTTGGTGGGCCCCCCCAAAAGGCAGGCACTCCTTTTTGGACGACTCCTACCGGGATGGTTGGAGAGGTCGAAGTGGACAGAGACATCGGAGTTGGGGTGGAACTTGACCTACCCAGACGCGACCCGTTTGACCCTGCGTTCAGGGACCGGGCCGTACCCGAATCCTTGGGTCAGGGGTCCGGACCTTCTCACCAATCCCGGTTTTGAGGGACCGGTCGGCCTGTTTGGAGCATCTGGGCGAGTCATGTTTTCTTCGGATGGGGATGGGTTCCCCCCCCAGTGGACTCTTCGGGACATGGGATTAATCCGCTCAGGTGCGGGTCGAGTCACGACGACCCACGCTCGGCGTAATCGATCTTCTGTCACGGTCCGAGTCCCCTCGTCCGAGCCAAGAACAGAGGACCATGCGGTAGAAGCGTCGATCAAAGGGATGGTCAAACTATGTCAAATAGAAAAGCTTTGAAACTTACTAACGTGGACTCCTGATGAATAGCCCCTACCCATGTGGATGCTAAACCTTGTTCACATGGGGGTGTTATTAATCGCGCAAGAGTATTGATTATTTCTGAACATGCGAATTGCAAGCTTTCATTCTCTGAGTTTCTGACCAGGAATCTTCTTTTTTGGCCGGGTATGAAAGCGTTTGACTCATCCGAACCTCCCAAATCTCAGACTTGCTCCCAAGCCTGATTCATGTTGGGTTCAATGGACAATGGATATACCTGGACCCTCCAGTTCATACCTTAGAAAATGAGACGCGACCCGAAAAAAAAAACAGGTACGACCGTACCCATGTTCGTACTTTAAGACCCCAAGGATAGTAATATGTCTTCTTTTCTTGATATTACCCAGACACTCCATGGGACTGCCATATATACCTACATTGGCCCTCCAAACCACCCCAACTGATCGGCATATATGTCATACATGGAGTGTTTGGGTTAAAGCATTCACCTTGAACTGTTGGGATTTCTTGGTGCCAACACCTGGCACCACGGCACGGGAACGCCTCCGCCTCTCCAAGAGCGATAGACCGCTGGCACACCAGGACGGCTGCACGGTGCTATTGGTGCCAGAGGTTTTGAGCTGTGAAGGCTATTGCCAGGCGAGGTTGGCAGGGCTGTTAACAGGGCTGTGGTTTTCCCTCGAAGGCAGGGCTTCGTGCAAAAAAAGGACATGCCATTCTGTAGCTGGAAAAAAAAACCTTTTGGTGATATAAGGGTCCTACTCCTATTTCATATATTCATAGAATAAATCTGGCTGCCCCCGACAGTGCCAGCAGTCACATGTCGGGGTGGTGTTTAGTCCCATCCAGTGAGTGGATAATAGACACCCCTACCCTTTGGATCGCACCTCTTTTCTTAATCTTCTCCTTCGCTCGCCCCAACATCAGACATACTGTTATATGAAGCAGCCTGAAGAGAGAACCCAGTCTGGAAGCATGTTGTTTCTTACGGATCCCAAAACACTTTGTCCCTCCAAACCGATGCTTGCTCCATTCCGAAGGCACTCCAAGCAGTCCCGAAGGAAGTCACCGCCCAGCCAGGCTGTACTCGTACGAGGGGTAGATCACAGAGGTTCTGAAAGACGGCCTCCAAAGACATCCACAAATCCACACAAAAGACATCAAACAGGTTTGAGTTTGACTAGCAGCTATAGGTGCTCTTTGCCAGGAATGTTGATGGTTTTTTTTCATCATGAATCATGGTTTATCCTAGGTACTGTATAAAGTATCTTTTGTGGGGGGGGGTCATTTCCAGATCCTTATATACTTGGACCCCGATGTCAGAAAAAGAAGCTCCGCTCGTTTTCGCTGATCGCTCACGTGACCGCTCTTCTTCGCCTAAAAACACCGCAGGCTCACGGCATTCACTGCAACCAGGCGAACGGCAGACCTTCACTTTCTTCGTCTTTGGATCGGTGGAGCGGTGGGGATGAGCGGACATCGACACCTACCGCTGGATGTCCTTCCAAGCGAAGGTGGTTTTTGGACACCCCGGTGGACACCTCTAAGAGGCTATTTATAGACACCTCTTAGGTGTCGGTCCTGGTATAGGATGATTGACGATAGTGATTGGCTCAGTCCCCAAAAAGCCCCTAGATGGCCCTATATAGTCAAAAATTCCTTCTAGCTATACTTTCCGGAGTCAATCTATGGGACCGGAAGACCTACCTCGTTATTTGACTCCGGTTTCACTGGCCCCCCCTGCCCCAAGCATGGAGTGTTGGGAATACACTCAAAGCAGCAGCATCTTTTGTGTCGCGATTCACTACGGAGAAATCTGAGGTGGTGGGTCGAACGTTTGCTGCAACAAGCTGCAAGGATCTATTGCTGCACATTTGCAGCTGAAGAGCTGATTTGAAACGTGTCATCCTCCGTGCGTGCACTGAACGTGCCGGTGAAGTCTCCTTGCCCACTTGGATTGCTCGACGTGGTTTTCTTGGGGCCTGAGGTGCCCGAACCTGCCCCAACGAACCATGTCCTGAAGAAAATTCAGCTCATCTCAGTTGTGGTCAATGATTAGTTTGGTTTGTGGAGCGCCTTTTCTTCCGGAATTTGGTATATAGATATTTGATGCCTGACTGCCTGAGCCCTTAAAGGTACGTAGGGAGTTTCTGATTGAAAGCAAGTGAGATGAGAGAGAGATGAAGTCAAAAGCCAAAGAGGCATTTGGGAAAAAGGTTTTTTTGTTCTTGAGTGCGCTTGATTTTTAGAGTATATATGCATTTTCTTTCTTTGCTTCTCTAATCTGAACTAGAACATATATGGTGTTCTATTCATTTCTATTCCCTCGGCATGGTGTTCCCTATTCTGGCATGGGGGGGAACATCATGTTCTCAGGAGCATTTTCCTGTTTCCTGGCTCCCAATCTTTGCCGCTTCAGGCCTGGCGCTCACATGGAGACTCCTGCCATGGTGCCACGCCCGCCACCTGCGCGGGGGAGATGCGGATGAGGCACGCGTGGCCGAGCGCGGCGCCGGTGCACGTGGCCGGGAGCATACATCCTGGAAAGCCAATCCCCCAGCAACTTCGACAGTTGACGTGTGACTCCAACATGAACGAAGCAAATTCTTGTGCTCCCTGACATTGCTATGAAGGAAGCCCACATGTTGGCCATCCTGCAAATGTCCACATACTGATTCCAGATCAAAGACTGGAACATCTTCAGGAAAAGGATCCTTTCTTTTGAAGATCGTCCCGAAGATTTCATCAACGTACAACCACCAGCAGTCACAAAGGGGTGGTGTCCCTAAGTAAGTGGATATTAGGCACCCTACCCTCCATTAAGCCCCTTTGTGACTGCTGGCAATGTCTCTTTCCACTTGGTCTTTTACAGACGACCGGATCCTCTCAATTCTCGTTCTCCACGCTCCCTGGCCAGGGGCGATCGGCTGCTATGCCGATGCCAGGCCTTAGGCCTCAGCCGACTGGGACAAGAGGCCCGGGCGAAGCGTTGGCACATGACGTAGATGCCTCAGCAACAGAGCTTGAAGAACCCTTACTAAGTATAGACTATCCCAGTTGGGTACCCCAGGTGACGGGTCCTATTTACGGTCACTTAAACCCGGCAAGTCATGGGATGAATGGCATTGAATGCCTTCTTCTTCTGAATCGATCGCCGGGTGGTCCTTTTCTTGGCTTGCTTTCTCACGCTTTCTCCGATGTTTCTTCCACTTCCAACCGTCCGCACCTGCACGCGCCACCACGTCCGCACCGTCGCAGTGCGGTCGCAGTACGGTCAGGTGCCTCTGAATGCGCATGTCTTGGTGGACAGACGCCTGGCGATGCCATGGCCAGCCCTAGGGATCGATTCGGGATCTGTGGAGTCCATCAAAGTGAAGATTTTCACCAACCCACAGGGTTTCATCTGGTTTCATGTAAGGGTTGATTTGTTGTGTTGATTTTTTGATTGTTGGGAGATGGATTTGCTAGCGACGAAAAGGGTCAAGCCATTGTGTCACTCGCCACACAAAAGGCACAAAAGACATCAAAAGACTCCAGCTTTGTCACTTAGGACACACTGGGGTGGTGACCAAGGGACCCGATCACGATGGTCATGTCCGAGCAGCTTGGCACGCAACTACTGTGACCAGGAACCCATAGGAACCTAAGCTCCAAGCCTTGTCCCACCAGGAAGTCAATTCCAGGGACTTCTTCTTTTTGTGTGCATCTTTTGCAGCAGAAAATCCAGCAGCTGACCTCGAACTGACACCCCTGTCTTGAAAGGAGTGATTCACACAGTACACACATCCATCACCATCTTCAGCCTTCACCATTCACCCTCGCCCGCACTTCCACGGCGCTTCTCGCTCCTGCCGCGCCCTATCTGCGCCACCAGGCCGTGCACACACCTCTTCCGGTCTCCCCCCCACCGCCGCACGTCGCGCGGTGGTTCGCCGCCGAACCGCCAAACCGCGGTCCGCTGCATTGGGCGTTCGGCGGGTTTCGCGCCCCGAGGTGAAGATGCCCAAGCTGCTGACCTTGGATCGACCCTTCTTCCGCCCGTGGGATGCGGACGCTGCGGCGCAGCCGAGACCGTGGTGGCTCGGCACAAGAAACACCGGACACCGGGACCGGGAAGTTCCGTGGATCTGGTTTTTGGGTGCGGAGTCACAGTGGTAGTGATGTTTTGAGCTCAGAAAAAACCCTCTAAGCTGGAACTGAGAAGGTATAGGACCAGCATGAACTTGATCTGAGCTGCTTTTGGAAGAGAGAGAGAGAGAGAGAGTAGGTGGTCAAACAGCAAGTACAGTTATATACTATATATCTTTGATTCGATGGACAAAGTGAGACTAACTGGCCAGCTTGATCCTGAAAGGCGTTCAAACAAGAATTTCAATCTTCAAGTCTTCTGTCTCCCGGTCTGGCATCCACCTCGCAAGCGCATGGGAAAAAAAGGTCTCCGTTATTGGGTCTATCTGTACTGTACATTACTGTACATCATTCTTCGGATTTCGATGGATTTCTATAGGATCTATCTACCTCAGGGGTCACAAAGGGGTGGTGTTTGGTCCCTAAGTGAGTGGATAGTGGGCACCCCTAACCTCCAAGTTCGTCACCCCGTCTTGTGACTCCTGGTATATATTGTACATAGATCATGTTTGCTTTGTGCCCACCAACAAATCATGCAGCATTCATGGCAGCCATGTCGACTGACGACGCAAGGCACGGTAGCTGTGATGAGCTGCGACAAGGTCCAGCGGGCAGGTTTTGGTGGATGGTGGACGCCTCCCAGGTAGTCTAGTCTGTTCATTTTCGGTGGTCAACTAGGCTCCCCCCGTTTTGACCCACAGCCCAAAAAACTAGATCCACGGGAGAACTGTTTTCCATGGATTTGGGACATCGTTTCTCGTTTGTGGAAGATGGAACTCATGCTACTGGTACTGTTGATGGGTTTTCCCATATAACGCGACCTCCCCGGCACCCTGCAACTGAATTGTTGTGTTGTTTGGGATGTGGGATGCAGGATTTGGTCATACAATGACATGTTTTCTGTTTGACGCACTTTACTCTGAAATCCGATTATCTGGAGATGGGGTTACACTGCGGGTGTTCAGCACCTTGTCTTCCGAGGTGTCCGATGCGTTTTCAACTGCCCTGGTCATACCCATAACCGCATCAGGTCTCCAAGGCTTGAAGCCCTCAGGTCAGGTCGAACAAAGTAGGTATACGGGAAGTCGGCAAAACAGATGAATAACTTTGGGAGAAGGATTGGCTCTGAGGGTTGGGTGCAGAGGTCCTAACGTCCTATATATTGGAGCTGAGCAGAAGCTACTTCTTCCGCCAGAGGGCGGAGAGTGGATTCGTGAGGGGAACCGCGAGGGGAGCTACTTGGAATTGGTCTTCCAGTGGTGTAGGATATTGGTCCTCAACTGTAAGGTTCGTTGTGGATGGTGGCACGGGATTCAACGGCACGGTGCCCATGTGGGCCTATGTGGATGTGCCCACGTGACTGGTATGCCTTGATTCGTCAAACACTGAATCCCTAAGACTAGGACATCATCGAGTTTGCGCACCATCCTATTGGGACAAATGCAGTGTTCAATGCATGATTGTGGTGAAACCCCCCCAATAGCCTGAGTGTACATGAATGAATGAAGAGATTACCATTCATCGGGGTGCGACTTCGAAGATAGCAAGAGAATCCTCCTCAAGGTCTAAAAGGAGATGAACAGGTCCTGGCAGAAGATTTTTAGATGTCTTAGGGGCTCGACACACACAAGTTTCTTACTGTTTTAAGCTTGAACTATACAAAAGATCTTCCCTTCTTCCCTGCAGATCAGAAACACCATCCACACCAGGGACCTCCCAACGTTGAACTCCCCAAAGACCGGGTTCCTCGGTTCGCCCGTGCGTAGCTCGCGCCGTTCGCCAGGTGATCCAGTGCAGCTCACGGAGGGCCACTTTCGCGGGCACCGCGGAGCCGTGGAGCGCTGCGACCCTGTCGCTGGGAGAACGATCTGGTGTTCGAATCGGTGGGGGGAAGGGGAGGAAGGGGAGGAGGAGGGAAGGGCAGATTGGAGCCAAAAAAAGGGGAGCCTTGACTTGGGAGTTCCTTTTGTGGGGGGGATTGAGGGAATCAACATTTCCAGCCAATTGTGTGTTTTGAAAGGACCATTGGAATTGAATTTAAGACGATTCATTTGTTTGAGGGTCAGCAATCAGGGGAAAGATGATGGGGTCGTGGTGGGTTCAGGGTTGGATTTCCAGGAACTGGTTCCACTGGTTGGGTGGGTTTGGTTCCACCTCGCAGTGCCATTTCTTGGCCAATAATCATATATTTAAACTGTTCCGATCGCTTGGGAAGTGGGACATTCGCAACATCCAAAGCCAGCATCAGCAACTCATACACCTGCGACCCTGGAACCCAGACCCCTGCTTTGATAGGGTAAAGATCATATGTTGGGTGGTTGGTGGTTCACAGATGTTCAAAGTAGAGGTCACTCGGGTTGCAGGACCTTCGGTTTCCGCCGACCTTCTGACGCTCCGGTGGTGGACGCGGCCTCGCCGCGCCGTCTCAACAAACATGCGTGGCCTTCGGGTCTCGATCCCACAGGCCATGTCATGGCCATTTGTTGGAACACCTACATCAACCAGGACCTTCCAAGAGGTGTCTATAAATAGCCTCTTAGAGGTTAAGAGGTGTCCCAAAACCACCTGTTGGAAGGTGCTGGAATAAGGATGGTTGAAAAGGTGGAATTGATGCAGATCAAGAATGAATCCTTAGTCCAGTCCCAAGGAGCCTTTGCAAAAATCACTGTAAATCATCCATGGTTCTGTTCATGTTCCATCCTCCGCTCCGACCTGCTCGCGACCTGCTTGGCCGGCTTGTTTTTCTTGGCTCAGGTCTCAAAGCAATACACGGCGCCTGGGCGGGCGAAAGCGCCGTTGGGCGAAATCGGCGCGACGGACCGACGGAAGTCGGCGGCCGTTGACGGACCTGTTTTCGCGTTGGGCGTAGCCTGAAGTGGTTGAAAAAACGCCATGAATCTCCAATCTTCCAATTCCCAGACACGACCCGTCTGGGACTGCCATAGGACTGCCGATCAGGCCAGGGGTGGTGCCAGGGGGGTCAATGTAGGCATGATATATATGGCATACATGGAGTGTTTGGGATTGAATCCTGTTTCATCCATTTCATCCCGCTCCCCCCAGCGGCTTGCTGCGCTGGCGCTCTCTCCGTGTACATCCTGAGGTGATTTTGGATCAATGGCTGCACGTCAGCGCCTACAATCTGGTGGTGTTGCATTGCAGCGCCTTGCAGCCCCTGGGCTCGGCGATTGGCGGCGATGGCGACGACCGACGACCGAAACGACACAAACAGCTGTTGGAGTGTCGGTGGAGCGTGCAGTTGAACCAGAACATATAATACTATCGGGTAAGAGCCTGACAGCTTGGAAGGAACAGGTGTTGCTCACCCAAGCCATGGTGTTTTTTTTTCTTCTGCATTTGAGTGCGCATTCTTCTTCGTGCTTCGCGTGTCCAGATGTTGAATTCTTCTTCCAAGCTCTCGGAGAAACAAGACTGCCCGTGTTCGTTTGAGCAGACCTGTGGACCTGTGGCAGGTGACCATGTGAAGTTGACTCTTCTGGCATTGCATGATGAAAGGCTGCAAGATCGCCATTGGTCAGTTCATGTCATGTCATGTTATTGCACAACGAGCTGTGATAGACCTGTTGGACATGAAGGTGTGCCACCATTTTTTCCTGCTGCTTGCCATCATTACACATTGATATTCCAACTGCAAAGTGTATGCCTTTTGGCTGGTTTTATATAGATGAAAAGGCACAGTTGGAAGACCCAGGTATCATATTGATTGTCAGTACCTTTGCACCTCCACCATGTCAAACCTCATTTCGAAATAAGTTATCCCATCCAACATTTTGTGTCACTCACTCATCCCGGTGCAACACGCGGCACGTCGCGTGCAGCCTGAGGCCCTTGGGGCAGAATTGCTCGGAGGATCAGTGTCAAATCCGTCCCCATAGCCATCGCGAGTCCTGTGAGCAGTTCTGCTGCTTGGCAGAGAACGTGGTATGGGACATACCCTTTGAGAAGGTGATGTTCGACTCCTGGATGTCGGCGCCTGGGTCGGGTCCAATCATCGTACCTCAGAGGGTGGCAGTGGATCCCTAGGGAGAGTAGACCACCGTGCAGTTCTGTTGCTCGGTTTGGGACCAATTCCGGGTGGGCGACCTTCGACGGTAACCAAAAGCATCCTCTCGGCAAACAGGATATGTACCAAGGATTCCATGGACCATCGGATAGTTTTTTTTTTCTTTTCGCGCTCTGTCTTCCTCGGGATCAATTGAGTCGATGTGTTTTGTTTACCTTAGGGATCCAAATACCTTCTCAAATGGTATTTGGACCCTCCTGGAGCCGAACCATCAATGCGTCGAACACATCACAGTACCGGCATGTGGATCCTCTGGGTTAGATTGTTCCGTGTAGACGTGCATGGTGTCCGTCGATGGTGGTGAAGGAGTTCTTCGGTTTGAGGAGCCTAACAAGGATCGCGGGATCCTGGAGGTTGAATTTGGGGTCCTTGTTGCACTTACAACTGATCCTTTGTCCTATTCTCATCACTGGCTTCATCATGTCATCATGTTATCAAGACATGAAGCTCGCTAGTGTACTCTCACAAACCTTCAAAGCCGCGGCACCTTGTCAAAGCCACATTGGGACACAAGCCAGCTGCACCGTGGTCAAAACCACCCGAGCCAGGCGACCAAGACGTAGACCGAGAAACCACCGGCACCGGTCGTCCAGGTCACGTCACTCACCGTGAGTCGAGTCCCGCACCGGTCGTCCAGCCGACGCTCGTCGTGGCTTTCGCTGCAAGGTCATGCTGCAGAGATGCGTTGCTTTCGCGCCTGGCGCGGCCAAAAGGGCAGATGTGACATGGACCAGCCACTGCCCTGCAGTGCAGGAGACGAGCGAGTATGGGGAGTACGGCGAGTACGGTGTGTGTCCATTTTTGTTGGTAGAATTCTTGGGGTTCACTTACTGGACCAGAACACGACGATGTCGGGGGTTTTCTTCCGGATTTTCGCAAACCCGTGACTGGAATGACTGGACCTTACGTGTGGGAAGGGCTTGGCAGGTTCTTGTGGGTCGCTCAGTTCTTTCTTCAGGTGTTTCGCGAGGGGTAGGTTGAAAAGACATATATTGTCGTCGATATATTGCACACTGAACATAGATGATAAGCGTGGTACTTCGAACATGTCTCCAAATGAGTGCTTTGGAATGCTTCGGGCGTCGGAAAATGGGGGAAAACTCCTTCATTTCTGGAGGCTCTTCAGTTGACCGCTACAGTGGTCAAGGTGCCTGGCCAGGGTGGCTGAACATCGCACTCATCGAACCAGGCCTGACACAGTACTCATCGAGCCTACTGGAGGTGCTTTTCGAACGCATCAAACGCATCAAACGCCTCTCGTCGTTCCCTCGAAGGAGCGGGAACTGAGAAGGTGTGCGAATGCGCGCCGGATGTCTATGCCGGTGGGAACTGCTTCCGGTACCTGGGCAGCGGTGGTGCAAAACGGTGTGGGATGTCCATGGTGTCCGGGATATTCACCAACTGAATGATAGATCACTGTAGACCTTGATGCAGAGAGTTCTGTCTAGAGAAAACCGTATAATTACAATGTCTTGCTTTGCTGGTATGTATTTTGTTGAACCTGCAACATACTTTATATATAGTTTTCAATATCCTCCACTGAAGACCAAGTTTCATTTTCGGACGGTGAATTACATGATGAACTGATCCTGGGATTCAACAAGTTGAAACATGCAGCTTAAGTGTGACTTCTTGCAAGAGTGTGTGTGTGTGTTTCTTTCCTCGAAGCTGAAAGTATTGCCAGAGTCCATTGTTCTTTAGCACTAATTCAATTAATTTTGTTACTGTTTAGAAACACCTCTATTTCTCAGAGGTGTTGTTGTTGTTGTTGCTTGCTTGCCTTCCCCAAACTCCACAGCTGCTAGATCAACATGAAAACATATGAAAACAATATTGTGGTATTCTGAAGTTTGAACATGTTTGAAGCATCTTGAGACCTGCACTTCATGGGGTTCTTCTGCATGTTTTTTTGTGCAAAGACGTTCTTGTGCCTTTGGACCGGGCACGAATCCACAGAGTGGAGCACATGTTTCATCAAACAAGTGCTTGTTTGGCGTCCCAAGAGAGGTTGAGATATCTTATACGTAGGACCCTGTAGTTGCACATATGGGATGGGCGAAAAGGGACTGTTTGTCTACCTCGTCATCAACACAACATGGCGATCCCGTCCTGCCACGGATGTCCTGCCGTGGATCAACAACACCCTAAGAACAGTGCAACTTGGCTAACTCGGCCATGCTTTCGATGCGGTCAGGTGCTGTGAAAATATCACCGCCTTTCTTTGTCTACCTGGGTCATCCATACCTCGGTGTCCAATAGGCCAACCCAGTGCTTAGCTAGACTGGACCTCCATGTCCAGGACACCCAGGTATATCATACCTCCGATCCTGGGACAATACCTGGTCTGATTCTGATCTGATCTGCACGAACCAGGCATGATCTCAGCTACGAGCCTCTCAACATGCCGGGCCAACTGAGAAGCCACGAGCGCTCGGCAAAGGCCTGCGCCGAGCGCTGCGCCTCGGTGCTGGGCTGCGCACACTTCTCGTACTGGTCGGATGGCGGGTGTCATTTGCAGGAGAGAAACGGAGGGAGGGAGGAGGGCGGAGGAGGATCTGAAACCAGACTGTATAGAAGCTATAGACTTCATGAACCACAGTTCCGGTGATAGACCTCAGTTCCGCAGTCAAACGCCCACAGTTCCGGTGATAGACCTCAGTTCCGGTTCCGCAATCACATCGGCGTGACTTCCGCCGACTTCGGATCTGCTCGACTCGCAGGACCGCCATGCTCGCCTGCTGGGGCGTCCCGGCGTCGTCGTCGGCCCCGGTGACTGCCTGGCCGCAGCGGCGCGAGAGAGACCCGCGGAGATCGGGGAGACGGACCTGTGCCAAGCGGGCGTGAGCTACAGGCAACGCCGTGGCCGGAGTGGTTTCTCATAGCCCAAATTCCTCTAACTACAAGTTCACATCCTGATCTCCTGGATGATTTCAGTCTCAGAAATCGTTTTTTATTATTTTTTTCGACGCTGAGATCCGAAGATTGGAACGAATCGATCAGAGTCTACCAGCAGTCACGTTCGACGGGGGTGCGATCCATGGGGGTGTCCAGGACATCCACAGCCCCTGGATGGGACGAGCCACACCACCCCGACATGTGAATCTAAGAGTCCATTTAAAGATTCTTTCCTAGGGATCCACTGCCACCCTCTGAGGTAGGGTGAATGGAGACACTAGGAGGGTACTTGGATCCCTAGGGCTTCCTTCTCCCTTTTCTTCCTTCACCCGAGCTCGGTGGGTGAGGCCGTTAGACATGGATGGGCAACATCGAAGCCACGAGCCTGACCTACAGCACTGCGCCGAGCGCTGCGCAGCCGTGGCGGGCTGCGCACACTTCTCGTACTGGTCGGATGGCGGGTGCCATTTGCAGGAGAGAAACGGAGGGAGGGAGGAGGGCGGAGGATCTGAAACTAACCAGACCGTAGGGAGGGCTCCAGATGGTGGAGACGGGAGGGCGGTTGGATGGGCGAAGGCAGTGCCGGGCCTGAAAGGGAGCCCGTGAAGAAGGGACACCTTGTTCGGTGGATCTGATCCCTTTCCACAGCAAGGACTCGGATGCCAAAGAGCAGAGCACTTTGGGCGCCATCGCCGGGCATCCCAAGTGCCAGGCCGGGGTGTTTGGCCAGGTCGACAGGTCAGCCGCAGTTGAAAAACTCGCTATATGTGGATATTGAAGCGTCCAAAAAACTTCTTCCCTTTCAGCAGTCACAGCGCTCGGGGTGGTGTTTAGATGTGTTTAGTCCCCAATGACTGGATGTGACAGTGGCCCCCCCCTGCCCTCCAAGTTCGCCACGCACCGAACGTCGCGCCGGTGGACTCACGCTTCTCTCACGGGTAGAGACCATCGTTGATGGGGACTGCATTGAACACAGACACAGGTAGGAAACCACATTTACGACCTGTTTTGCCATGTTTTGCCCAAAAACTGGTCGGTCCAAGTTGGTGCAGCGTTCTGACCTTGGCGTTCTGACCCTTCCCCCATGCACTCTACTTTATTAATAATAGTGTTTCTTTTTTCCACTGTCTACCTTTGAACATCTTAAAAGGAGCGCGCAAATATTCCACCAACTTGGCGGAGCATCGTCAAAGAACCAAAAGAACTTCAATCACGTTCATGAATGGCTTGCCAACTCGCACAATAACCAATCATGTGGTCGCAGAAAAGTCCTCGAACGACCTCATCGTTTTTCACCCAAGACTCGAGTAACCAGCGTCCTGGACTTGGGATAAAACAACAACGTCAGGACTGGCATCACCTGGGGTGGTTGAATGATCAGGGGTCAGCTGATCGGCATCTATTCCAGTCCCATCTGGTCCAACCGAGAAGAACCGCAGCGCCGCAGACGGACTCCGGGTCCAGCTCGGCGACCGTGCGCGGAGTGGCAACGACGACCACGGCACCAGAGGAGTTCCTTGGTGAGGAGATCCTGGATCAGTTGGATCAGGTTGGAAAGGATTTGGGTGAAGCACGTGCTTGGTATGATCACCCTCAAAGTATAGATGGATGGTAGAAAACGAAGGACTTGAGAACTGTAGTGGATGTCATTTCACAAGCCTGTACATGGTTGGATTTAGAGGGCGTGGTTCTTGGAGATTGATGGGTTGTGGCGGAGGACCGGATGGGTGCAGAGGCAAGTTATACCCTTTGGATCCCTGTGGGGTTGTTTATCTTTTCAAATTTTTGAACACTAGGTCAAAAAAGATGAGGTTTGGCTATACCTGGATGTTCCAACTATGCAACAGTTCTGTTTTTTTTTGGGTCTTTTTGTTTGGTATTTTATAGACGAAAAGGCAACAACATGTTTCACAGTTGGAAGATCCAGGAATTAATGCTTATCGATTTACAAAAGATCGTGCTTAAAAACAAAATGGTCATATTGGTAATATACAACATATAAACCTGGAGTTCACCTGTTTGGTACAACTACGGACTTCATGAGTCATCCTGTTTGGGTCCGGTCATCCTTCACCATCCTTCCAGTGGTTTGATCGTTTGATGGCACATGACCAGTGATTTCCCAGTCGATGGTCCAATCAGTTGGGTTCGATCGATGCTCCGAACCAAGGCCAGGCGCTCGAGCGAGCGCGACGGCTCGAGCCGCGCCGAGCCGCGCGGCCTGCGCTGGGCTGGTGGATGTGGTGCAGTGCCTTGGGGCGGAATGGGATGGCGCGGTGCTGGTGCTGTTTTCCACGGGGCCGTGATCGGACGACTGGATGGGCCGGATTGAGAATTGATGTTTATGGGGGTTCCATTTGGTGGCTCTTTGGGAGAAGAATCTGGAGCGGTTCGGCCTGATTTTAAGGGATTGCGACATTGCAGACAGACATGACATATACCTGACATATAATATACACCTTTCAGATGACATTACGCTGAGACAGTTAGTCTTTGTCTTCCTGCTTGAGGGTCTGAAACTGCATCCAAGTGGCCAAAAGCAAGGGTCGAAATGCAGATTAGGCACCTGAACAAATGCTGGATGCTTCAAGACTGTTTACTCTGTTGTTGGTATGTTTGACTGACCCAACCCAGCATTTACACAACCACTTGGATTTGACACACCAAACGGTTATGAAGGTCTGTAATAAGTCTTCAAGTAGTGTAGGGTAGTCCAGTCATGTCCAGCCAGGACACCCAGACAGGATGGTCCTGGTATACAATCATTATCCCACTGGAACCACTGGCTACCAGCTATAGTGGAAACTGGATCCCTGGGCATAGTTTTCCTCAATGTCTTCTTCAACATATGGCCTTTTCTGTAAGAAGACCACCTTCAGTAGACTCAAGAGAAGGACCCAGGAGAACGACTGGAACCACAAAAAAGAATGCGTAGCTCTGATTGAGCCTTCGCAAAAACAGGTACTGTTCTGCATCCAAAGGTTGCAAGGCCGGCGACAGATACGGGTTTCAGTCGGTGTTGGTCGACTTGGTGTTTGAAATCTGGGGCATTCAACGGAATCTCCATGTGGATCGTCGATCCCGTGGTGTTTTGGTCGGTGATGTTCTTGAAAACCCCAAACGCATGAAAAGCACCTGCGTCTTGGAACGCGTGCCATGGTTTGCTGGTGTTGATTCTGAATCATATCCGTTTGGAATTGGATCAGCTATCCAAAGCCATGGAAGCATAGTTCATGTCGGCCGAATGGAGATACCCAGAGATAGTGCGTGTATTCTCATTGCTCCATAACTTAAGTGAGACTTCGCACTTCCGTACGCTACGTAAAGGTAGGTTGGATTCTGAGTTTGTGGATATATGGAGTCCGACCATTTCACTTCTGAGCTCAGTGTGAGACCCATTCCATTCCCCCAGTGACCCTGGAGGATTCCGACTCTGTGCAGATGTCACAGCGAAGAACGGCTGCTTTCCCATTTGTGCAGAGCGGGATGAATGTGAGTAGCGGATCGATTGTAAGCTGAGAGAGGGAGAGAGAGAGAGCAATAGCAGCGGCAGGTGGCCTGTTTCTTTTGTCAGGTGGACAAGCCTGCCCGGATGAGTCCATTGAAGGTGACATGTTTTTGATTGTTTTTGTTTCTACAGTTGTGGTCCGAACTTGGTTTTGCTTGATCCTGAACTTCCGGTGCGTTCACCCCGGACCGGCGACGGGTTCAGGCCACTGTGCGGCGGATGGCTCAAAGGTCCGGAGGAAGGGAGGAAGGGAGGACCCCTCGCCGTCCACGACCCGACCCTACGGACCCGTCCGGACCCGTCCGGAACCGTCCGGCCGTTTGGCGACCTGACCCGTCCATCCACCGGAGGGACCAGAAAGGGCTGTGACCGGAGCGTTTGGGTCTGCAGCTCGGAGTGCTTTTTGGTGTCCAAAGACTGAACGACGAAGGATCGACGGGACTTTCCGTGCTACTTGCGATCGATGAAGCTTCACTCTTCACCAAATTCGTCCGTTTCTTCATTTCCAATCTCATGGTAGCTTACTGCATGCAGGAGCAGAGATGTGTGACTTATCACTGCTGAGAGTGGAACATGTTGCGTGCAACTGCAGTTCGCGATCTATCCCAGAAAGGTCTGGTTTCATTGAATTTGGAACCAATTGCAGATCATTTTGGACGCAAATCGCCCGCCATGTCGTTTGCAGGTCTTGCTTCGACTACTGCGAGCAACTCAGCTCCTCGTGCTCTCGAGCCTTCATTGGTGGCTGCCATGGAGAAGAGGCAGCGGCGTTTCAATCAATCGCACACGGGAAAGAATGGCTGCCAGTGTTTTTTTTCTTCGGTCGGTTTCTTTTTTTCCGGTTTTCCAACCTTTTGATGGAAAACTGTGTTTCTGGCCAAGTCTCATGAAACCAACCTCTCTCTGAGCCTCTAATTAGAGAAGCTGTGAGAATTCGCCTGGAAAGAGAAACATCAAGGAACCCTTTACAAAGAACACACGCAGAAAAGTACAACACATCATTAAGCATTCACAAAAAGAACAAACTGTAAAGTGGTGAGTTGATGCATGTCATTTTATATGCACGAAACATCGTGAAATCACTGACATGTTGCGACTCACCAGGTAGACTGTGACGAGATCACCGGTAGCGATGCCATGACCTGCGCCTTGGTGAAAACAGACAGCACGGGCCAGGGGGCGGGCAGCGGATGCCATGGAGAAAGCTCGGCTTTAAGAGGTGGCATGCCAGTCAGACACATGGGGTGAAGGTGGGTCTCCCCCCCAAAAGATAGCAGTCAGACTGGGATTCTTGGAAGGGATCGTTTTTATATGTTTTCATGGCTGAAAGAAGCTTCAGTCACTTGGCACTGAGTCGAGCCTGCCTTCGATGCAATTGTTTGCATGCGTCATGGACACATCAAATATCATTTAAACACATCCAAGTTCCGGACATTTGTTCATCGAACAAAAGAGATTGCTGTGCCACATCAAATCCACTCTCATCAAATATATCATTAAAAAGACAAAAGCATAAACATCTCATCCAGTCCACGCCCTCGCCGCTTTGCTCCACGCCCTCGGCCCGGCATGCGGACCTCGCCACGACCTCCCTCCGGACCTTCACGGACGACGTGGCCCACGGCGTGGCCGAGGTCACTGCCACGGTGGCCGAGCAGATCTGCGACGCTCCGAGGCGCAGGAGCTGCACCAGTCGCAGGAGCCTGGCGTAGGTCGTTTTGGGGGGGAACCAATTCCCCACAGCCCCACAGCGTCGTTTTGGTTTGGCTTTCATAGTTCCATCATGTTCCAAGCCAAACGCGGCGATGGGTGGTCGTTTTCTGCCAACGCGCGTTTTCGACGCATTGGCAGGAAGAGGTGCAGACATGGCAGTTTCATTGCCATGAGGGCAGTCCCAAGACATGGGACATGGAGAAGCGCTGGTGGTGTTGACCCTTGGCGGCAGAGGGAGAAGAGACGCAATATCGAGGCAGTGCAGAAAAAGAAGTGGACCAGTGGAGAAGGGTGTCGACCAGGACGTACCCCAAGACGTTGAGAAACAGCATGGGGAAGCCGACCAGGCAACAGCTTCCTAGACGGTTCGGAATGTAATTAGCCTAATTAGACTGGTCGTCTGCCCAGCCATGGGGCGAGTGGCCAGGGTGTCTCCCTAAAGTACACCCATACCCAGACACGACCCATGGGACTGCCATAGGACTGCCGATCAGTTGGTGTGGTTTGAGGGGTCAATGGGGCGGCATATATGGCAGTCCCATGGGTCGTGTTTGGGTGTCTCCTTGTCATGAACAGGGGTTGAATCTGCACTGCATCGAGGTTGAGAGTAACCTGAGAGTACAGGAGTTGGACGCACATATATATATATATATTATATCAGAGTTGAGAGAGGACACATGCGTTTCAAAGCACAATTGATGTTCACACAGCGTTGCCCGCCACCCAAATCTTCCTTGATGCTTCTCGAACCTAACTCCAGCCAATCACAGAGAGAAGAAGACATGCCAAACTCGAGGAACTCCGAAGAACTGTCACAACTTCGGCCAGGTTGTCACAATTCGGAACACATCCCCGAAGATTTTTGGAACACCTTCCCAAAGACACTCGCTGCAGCGCGGCGGAAAACGTCCCACCTCCTCGCAAGGTCGGGAGCTGGAGATCGGATGTGGTGCCCGAAGCTGTTGGCAAGCGCAGCACGAGGCAGGTCCGGGTGGAGGTGGAGGATGGACCGGGTGGACCGGTGGTTCTTCTTTTGAAGAGGGCGACCGGGTGGAGTTGGGATGGTTCATATGGGTTTCAATGGTTTCACTGGAGTGTGTGTGTGTGTGTGTGTTCTGTTCTTCAGAGCTCATTGATGTTCATGTGGTAGGCGTTTGGGGGGAGGGTTTGCAGATGCAGTTGATGCAGGATGCTTAGGCTGTGGAGCCTTTGGATTGATGGGAAGAAGTTGATTGGACCACCAGGGTTTTGATGAGAAAAGTGGGAGACGTTTGCTTGACCATCTCGTGGATTGGGGTTGGTTGACTATTGCAGTGCGTCTGCCAGCAATCACCATTGATTACCAATGTATCTCGCTGAATACGAGTGCAGACTTGGATTTCAGGTGAACTTTTCAGAATCTGGGTGGGTTGTTTCCAATGTTTCCAGGACGAAACAGGGTCATGCATCCTTTGCTGATTTGCAGGTCTTTCGCTCAACAAAGCTTCATGATTGTAGCCGCGCCCCAAAACCGCTGACCTCGCCAGAAAGTGCAAGCGCTCGACTGGTGAGGGTCTCGACTGTCGAAGGGTCGCTCGAGCTTCCTTTTCTTTTCGTCCTGACCTTTCGTTTCACCTCCCACAACCTCAGAGAGACGTCTCTCAACCGGTCGTTTTGTTCTGCTCAGATTGAGGGTCCAGTGGTGCAAGAAACCCCGTGGTGTTGGACGATGTAAGAATCGGCTTTTGGGGGTCCAAGAGAAGAACTCTTCGGACGCAGTCGCTAGGACCTCGAGGAAGGGACCAGGGATCTCAAGGATTGGCCATTTGGGCCTCTTATAGTACCAACATCCCTACGATCTAATTACTAGTACCGTGGTGTTTGATCATCCCGACGTACTTTCACGATATGACTCCGATGGCTGATACTGGAAATCCTATCCCGTCTCGGTACTGGGTCCGTAGGTCTGTCAATGTAGACTGTTGATGAACCAAAATGTTACTTTACTTTGAGTGATCCCCACCCGGAGAGGTGATGTGGAGGAAGGTAGGGCACCTTTATTGACAGACTAACCTGACAAGGGCGGACGCGGATGGACACAATGTTCTGACGTTTTTTCTAGCATCAAGTCTGGCTTGTGCCCGGACACATTATCTATTATAAAGGCTGGGAAATGTTCTGGACGGTGTTCTGACGTCCTTGTTGGCGTGTCCCGACAATTTCCTGCTGGGCTGTGGAGTCTGACATGTGCTGTGACATGGTATTGCGACAATTGTTCTGCCTTCAAAGAAAGTGTCTATCTCAATATATATATATATATATCCTGGCATTCTATGTGGCGTGTACTCTGGCATGCTATTTGGCATATATTCTGGCATATGGGCACACATTCTTACATTCAGCATTTTATCTGGTATACATTCTGGTGTTGTATCTGGCAATTAACTTGACATTGTATCTGCCATGGCGTTCTATCTGGCGTAAGCTCCGGCATTCCATCGTGTACATTTTTGACATTCTATCTGGCACATACTCGGCACATCTGGCAGTGTATCTGGTACGCGTGATCTAGCGGCAGTGCCCACTATCTAGCGCTTGCCGTTGAGGTCCGGCGGTGCCCACTGATGCCTGCGGTGCCAAATGTGATCTAGCACTTGCGGTTAAGGTCTGCTGGTGACCACTGGGATCTGGTGCTCGCGGTTGAGTCCCGGCGAGCACTTGCGGTTGGGGCCCGGCGGTGCTCTCTGCCATCTAGCACTTGCGGTTGAGCAACCCTCACCTGATCTACATCTGTTCAGACCTTTGCTTGGAGTGAACATTATGTGGCCGATGTCAAGTGCTCACCATGTTTAGCTGACTTCTGCGCCTTTTGTCCCGGCCAAACGGGCATCGCGGCATCACTGTACGAATCGTAAGTGAGACTTAAGTTGGTCCAAACCACACAGGCTGTGAGGTCCCATGGGAGAGGGTACTGACCATGTTTTTTCCACTCCTCATTTTTCACAACTCCTATGGTCCTATGCCCCTCCATTTGACTAAAGGGGTGAGTAGCCTTTACGCCAACAAAACGTTTCGTCTATGAGGGCGACTTGTATTTGCCGTCGCCTGGAATCTTTGGCCAATCCACGGCAGCCGCGTTTTTTCGTGTGTACACGGAGTACTTTGCAAAGGTGCGCTGATTAACCCTACCGGGTACCTACCGACTCTTCTTGTACCAGCTCATGTCTTAGTTTGCGAGAATTCTATTTTGACCAGTTGCGGCTGATGCTGGTGCCAGACTTGAATGTGAGACTCCACGCTTGTTCGTGTTGTTGAAGTACAGGTGTGACTCCACGCTTGTTCGTGTGGTTGAAATATAGGTGTGCACCTCGTCGGACCCACTCTCATTTGACAGAACTTGCGTGTGGCGCAGGAGGCACTGCTTAGAAAAGTGAGGATTTTCTTGGAACCTAGTGAGAAAATTCCCTCTTCACGATGTTTGCTCTTGTGTTCTTAGCGAACGGGTTCGTAGCAAACTTAGTTTTTGCTTAGCTTCAATGGTTGTTGGAGATGCCAAGCAAGGTGATTGGGTCATCTGGAATCACTGCTGTGGCCATGTTCTCCCAAATTCAATCTCGATATCCAAAGATTGCGGAAGCCTTCGCGGCGCCAATTCCCTTTCCAAATGGCTTGTCGGGGCCTACGGAGCATCAGCTGCACGAAGGTGGAAAAGGATACCTTTGGAGTACGCTCAAGCCCTGATCGACTTTTCGCAACCATGCAAAATTGTTTTCATTTCGGCCCAATTGTCACTTGAGCGGTGATGTTGCTCGATTTTGCTAACCGGTTTTTGACCGACTTCAATTTGGGTGGACTTAGTGGTTTCTGTGATTCTTTCAACCCATTCAACCCTTCTTCTCCTTTTCGTGTTTGGTTTCTTCTTGTTAGTGCCAGTTTGGAGCTCAATGCTGACACCCAAAAAGACTCCATCGAATTAGACTTTGAAAACTTTCGTAGGTGCCCTGTCCCTACCAATCTCTCCGTGATCCTCACACTCGCGATTTGTTTCTTTGTTTTGCCTTTCGGGTCTCGCACGGGCCAGAGTCTTCTACAGAAAAAAAAAGAGGATGATTTTTGCGCATGGATTTTTCAAAGGTTGGATGAAAGCACTGGTGACGTTGGATGTTTGCACATGTTTTCAAAACCATGTTCAATTGCCCTCATGACAGGGCGATTGGTCCATGGAGAACCGCATGTGGTGTGGCGGGCTGAGAAGAAGCAAGACCTAGCAATCCCAAACAGTTCAACACAGTTTTGCTTTGCAACCAACTTGTTTATTTTGTTTTTGAACCCGTATGCGACCTGTAGCAAGCTGAGCCGCATTTCATGTTTCGCTCAACTGATAGCAGAATCAACCGGGCAACCGTTCGTTGGTGTCCCATCCCCGGTGTTGAAACGCCCCTGCATGCTCTATCAAACGACATTGTGGTTTGCATTGTCTTAGTCTTGTAGGATCAACTTGTTGGAACATCCGCGGTTTAACGGAAACGGTTTTTCCTTTTTCACCGGGGGACATTTCGATCCCAAAATTGTTATGTAATATATAATGAAGAATTGATGGATATGAACGACACTTGACATGGTGTGTTTTTTTAACAAAACCGCTCACCAAAAAGGAAGGTGAATATCATTTGCCACATGCAATTCTACACATACTGGGTGCTGGCCTCGATTTTTGATCCACAGTCGGTGATGCCGGATGTTTGCAGAACAAAATGGAACAATCATTACCCGTACCAGCAGTGAAGAAGACGGGGTGCGTGCCTATTGGAGGGTAGGGGTGCCACTGTCACATCCACAGCCCCTGGATGGGACGAGCCGCACCACCCCGAGATGTGTTACTGCTGGTGTACGTGGAACCGTTTGGCCGGTTTATGGAACCGTTTTTTTGGTTCCTTGATGTTCATTGTCTCCTCACGGTGACGAGTGCGTGGATCATGTCAGATCCGACCAAACGCCGGATGAAACCGCTAAGGAGCAACAAAGCCTCAAAGCGAACCCATCACAGAGTCTTCCGATATCCAAAGCTGGCACATATGATCCTCCAACCTCCAGTCCATCCCTCTCCTGCCCCCGTTTCGAGGTGGGAAAGCACCTTTTGTGCTGTCCACGGCTTGCATGACGTGACGTCACTGTTGGACACCGCCAGAAGCAGTCTCTTCTCAAAGCAAACCTTTGGGCCAGCAGCGGCCAGCCCGTCTCGCGAAGCCACTTCTGAAAACCGCATTCGACAGGGCCAGCCTGCAAAACGGGGTTTTGGACAGTTCCAATTTTTTCTGAGCCAGCTCCACCACACGTCGCAAGTGTCTAAACATCGCTGTCGAAGCATGCCGGCCAGCTCATCCCTCACAGAATGCCCATAAGGCCACAACCCACAGGCCCAGCCAACTTCCACAGATCGCTTGCTTGCACCCTGAAACGGGCTGCCGCACTATTTGCACCGTTTTGAGCCGGTTGGACTGCTGCACGTCCTGCGGCTTCAGAAAGCTTGAGTTCGGGAAGCAACACAAACACATGCAACACGGCCTCCGAGTCACACAGCCTTGCACGGCCCCGCTGGTTTTCGTGTGGCCTAGATTGCGAGTTGTAATTCTTGTGTTCCTTACAGATCTAGAGTTGAACATGTGAGATTCCCAAAGGAGAGTGACAACATGTTGCTTATCGGAGCACAAAAGCTGAGGCTGTCGAGCACAGCAAGTGGGATGCGACCATGAAGAGGCGCAGCGTCGTTTCGCCCAGGTGGATTCCTTTCGTGTTCCACGAAGGGAAGACACATGAAGCCACTCGCGACATGTTTTGTGAGTTCGTTTCACTAGGTCGCACGGAAGGTGACCGGACCAAGGTCTCAAGAAGTCTCGGTCTCGGTTTGTACCGGACTAAGTGCGCCATGAAAATAGTACATCTAAAATCATCTAAACATATAGGAAAGGATTCACTGGAAGTACCAGAAGCCGGGATTGCTGGTGTAAGATGCGCATCTCGGATTGTTGTAATTTGATCATCCCAAAATGGTGTTGTTTCTGTTTCTTTAGGGCCTACATAAAGTTAGATTTCCATGTCGACATTCAGATGTGTTTTTCCGTGTTTTTGTTGCTTCTAAAGATCGTCCGGTGTGATCGTTGAGGTGCACCATTTCGACTGCAGCAACGGGCTCCGTTGCCCGGCAACAGGAAAGGCAGGACGGAAAACCGCAGATGTTAAGACTGTCAAGCATACCTGTAGTCTGTTGATAGAAGAAGAAAACCAGCCTGTTGCATGTAGATGCATGTAGTCTGTTAAGACTCTTGATCGTCTGTAGATATTTTCAGAGCTTTTACAATCCATGGTCGATGTGACCCTTGGTACCCTGTGTAACCTGCACCGAAGAACATGGAGGTCGATGACTGCCAGTCTCCGCATTTGGACAAAGACAAGACAGGACACTCCAAAAGAGGTACTGTTCAATTGTGCTTTCAGCCTTTAGCAAGACGGTTTTCTCAGACTGCGCAGCACATGCGCGGTCATTTATATATAGATTAATTGAAATATTATAGCAAGCCATGTTCAAGCGCATGTATGGAATCTACATTGGGATAGTCAACACAGTTGCACATCAATGAGGCTTGTTTCTGCCGCGATCCTGTCAAGCAAGCTTGATGGTCTTCTTGAGGGTTTCCAGCACAGCAGGGCAGTCGCAAGCGCAAGGCCGCAAGGCACTTCTACCTCTTCGGAAGAAAACACGCATGGCCGAAGATGAGCTGTTCCGGACGTCGAACATATTCTTTTCATATGGCTGTGGATTCTCAAAACCTGGAGCCCGTTTCACCCTGGTGGGTGACCGACCGGTCAGGTGGGAAATACCGGTCAGTCTCTTGGTAGAGCTGATCCACCGACTGACTCTGCAAGACTTCACAAGGTGAACACAGCCAGTTTATGGACCTTCACCTGTAGGGACTCCAGACATGCGGGGCGTAGCCAGTTGGGCTGAGGCAACTGGAGGAACGGCTGGTCACCGCTCAAGAAGAAGTACTGCTGCAAGCGGGAGACGCTCGGAGTGGGAAGCGGTGGAGTTGAGAGCATTGCGATCGATGTGTGCTAGGACCTAAGGAGAGCTTTTTTGGACACTTGATGACAGCTGGTGATGACAACAAGATGTGGCTAAGATCGGCGAGGCTGTTTCTGGCATATTTTCGACCAAAAAAAGGTTCCTCAAAGAGTCTTTTTTACAGCGAGGTGCTGCCTTGGGTCAGGCGTCCATTGTCCAAAGTGAGTCTAGAAACAGCTGGTGGTTTTGGTTCGCGGCCCTGTCACGTACGTCGTGGTGGCGTGGTGGGGTGGTAATGACCTGCTTTGTAGCGATGTAAGTATATAAGGATGTATAGTTATATGTACCTCACCGTGTTTTCCTTTGAGTCTTTGTGTATTACAACGTACTTCTTTCAATTACAAATTTGTTTCAATACAACATCCAGGTATATAATGGCCTTCAAGTGGAAGGAAGAACACTTTTCATGAAAGAAACTTGCGTGTTGAGTTACAAAGTGTTGCAAATTAAGAACAAATATAATGAACGAACTTTTGGCTGACCTTCAAGAACACATTCCCGAACTTTTTCTCTCACACTCCAAAAAAAATGAGCGTTTCGCTGTAGTGAAACGCTTGACACAAGCATCTTCCTTGGGAAAACGTGGGGATTTTGATGCACCAGCAAAGACACTTCTAAAACAAACCTACTGTAAATACAACAAAGATCAAGAAAGAAGTCCACAGGCAAGAAAAAAAACAAAAGAACCAACATATACAGTTGCAGGGAGGCGTCATCGGTCTAAACTTTCATGTTCTTTTCCCTCGCCATGACGGTCAAGTGAGGGAGCGTTTTTTATCGATTTCATGAACACTCGGTGCACCCGAAAACGTGGTTGCCTACTCCGCATCGCCTCCGAGGCACCGCGGCTGCGACGGGACGGCGGGACCGGGACCGAAAGCGTCCGAGCAGCGCGCTGCGAACGGGTACGACATGTGGTGGAACATGCCTTCTGACTTTGGTGGAGGAACCAGCTCTAAACATGTGGGACATGTCCTCATTATCAGGAGTATATAATATATAAGGTATGTTGAAGATGTATGTTCCATCCATGGCGGCTATGACATGTCCATCAATGATGATGCTGTTCAAATTTTGAGGACTGCACCTGCGAATCCCATCGTCTTGCAGATCTTGGTGACATTCTGGAACTCAGTTTGTGCAGGATTTCGACACACCAGATGACTTGAAGACATCACTATAGTCATTCCTGACCTAAACTCGCCTCACAAGATCTTCAGACTCAGACAACAAAATCGTACACATACACGTTCACTCACCTGCATCCTGGATCTATTTTCAAAAGGGTTAACCGTTAGTGGTTTCTAAAGGAAGACTCTTTTCTTCCACCTGTGCCACTGGGGCCGCAGGTGGCACATCGAGAAGAGGAGAGAACGCGGTCCTGTCCGCGTCGACACACCGCAGACGCAGACGACGCGTCGACGAGCGGTTGTGACGCGTCGACGATGCCATGAACACATAACGAATTCACCCGGGGGAAGACCATGTTCCTCAGACCGAGCCACTAGTGTTTTGGGCTTCTCCGCGTGTTTGTCGTTACTTGTTGTTCTCCGCAGAATCGCTGAGACGAGCAGTCACAGACACGGCGGGGCCGACACGACCTCCGTCCTCGGCGGTGCGGCGTCTTCGGATCCCAAGGTACAAGAGACCAGATCTTGGAGGGCGGTAGATGTCTTAGTGTGGTTCTTTCATGTTCTTTCCGGCTAGGGATGTTTAGTGTGAAGGTGTTAGGTTGAGTACAGCAGGAAAAAGAGGTTCTTGGATGTGATTCATCTGCCAGCTTATCCGACCGATGGTCACCGGGAAGCGGGGGGAGCTTTGAGGAGATTGGGGTGATCCCAACGTCTTCAAAGGGCAGATTCTGTGGTCGTCTCAACGAAAGAAACGAAAGAAGGAGCTTTTGAAGGCCGTTGAATCCTCTTTTGGGGCAGATGATCATTAAAGCTTCATCCAGATCATGACCATGCCAATCCGGGCGTCATTGGGATCACACTGGTGACCCAAATCAACCAGCGACTGCTACCCCTTTTGAGTTGGTGAAGCTGTAAATCCGTTGTTCCCCTAGTTCCGAAGAAACCGGAATGATTGGTGTTGTCTTTCTGCCTTATATATATATATATTATATCAGATTATCATTTGTCTTATTTGTGGTCTGTAATGATTTTCACATGCCGCGACTTAACAGGTCTCCTCTTCGTGAGAGCCATCGCCCCCAAAGATATTTGACTAGCTCTGCCAGGGTGGAGGGTTTTTCATCCCTTGAATCATCAAGGCCAGTGGAACACCGACTGTTTGGTCTTCGGATGTCATAGTGGAACCCACCTCACCATGCAGATTCGGCTACCGGGGGGAGTCTCTTGCGGAGGGTGGAGGGTGGAGGGTAAGTTTGGGGGGAAGCAGACCAAGACACTTATCCTGGACTCCGTCTACTGAAGCAGACGAAGCATCTTAAAGCTCGTAGGCTTTGGCTCGCCCGGACTGATCAACAAAGTGTTTGAAGGACCCAGCAAAACTCGGCAGTGGTGGAAGTGGTGGATTCATGAAGGTACATGGTTATAACTGTTATAACACCCATAATGGGATCAGATTGGTTGATGAGTCCTGATCAGTCGGCAACACCTTCAACAAAGAGATGCATCAACTGAAAACATTCACACCCTGCAAGGGCCAGGCGCCAGGAGAAAAACATGTATGATGTCACCCTCAGAGGGCCTAGGACTAGGACCCCCTCAAGGGCCTTCGCATGTCCGAAGCCTTTTTTACAGCCTTGCGTGGCCTTCCATGGCTCGCAGCATCCTTCATGACGTCCTACCCCCCGAGCTCTGTCGTGAGCTTTGGCTTCAGCACTTGGCCTGTGCAGTGCCCGGGTACAGGCGCCTTAACTGACGACGGACGACCGATGGGACTGCCCAGAGAATCCATAGGGTTTTGAGGGTCCTATAGGTAAGCATTGGGTATTTGGTGTACATGTAATAACTTAATAGATTTATGGCTGGTACCTATGGAGCCCACCATGTAGATGATTGTTTGACAATCCAGTCCCATGTAGACAATCCATGTAGGGTCAATGAGGTCCCATGGATTGTGGGGGGGAGCATTTGGTGTTTTGGGGGATCAAATCCAGCAGTGTTGCAAGTTGCAACCGAAGATATAGATGACACATGATGACACCACCAGTCTTACACAGCACTTGGGTGTGTCTTACACACCCGGAAGATGTGCGACATACCTTTCTTTGGAGAGTCGTTTCCCTACTTTAAACAAGAACGACTGGAGGAGTCAGATTACAAAAGGGATCAAAAGGGATATCAACCAGGTACTCATTGTATCCCCGGACGACAGATAAGTACTATCATGGGAAACAAAATGACTGACGATTCATCAGTAAAGAATATATCTAAAGTCACTATGTCCTTTGGTCTTGCGGAAAGCTGTGTTCAACCGTAAGAGAGAGACCCACATAATCCTTCTCCCATGCGTATCACATCGGTCCTAGTCTTTGACATGGGTTCCAATTATTATACAATAGCTGATGTTCTTTTTCTGGGGAGGTCAAGCCAAGGCTACAAAGTCCGTTTCTGGATGCCAAACACGTGCTCTAAAAACTGGATCCTTGTCCTATAGGAATATCTCTGACCTCCGACAGGGTCCACGACCGACCACGGACCGAGCTGCGCCGAGCTCCAGAGGCCCGGCTGCACGGCGAGCTGTTTGGCCTCGGCGCCCTACTGGGCGTGGCCGTGCTGGCTTCGCGCGCGCCAACTGGCGCAGCGTGCCGCGGAGGACGAGTTCGAGGGATGAACAGTCGTTGGAACTGTCGTGGCCGTGGCCATATTTGGCCGGCCGGCCAGAGTCATCCGTCGCTATGGTTGCGAAAGAGGGGAGAACATCTTATAATAACTATCAGCGATAATTGTTGGGTTTCAATAGGCATCAAGAATCTAAGTTTCTTAGCCTCTCGGATTGTATGAAGCTGTTGGAATGATTCTGAAATCCCTCAGGCTCATCATCATCCGCAACACTGAGGGTTTGCATGCTTTAGGGGAGATGTCCTAGAGTTCTTTGCCGAAGCTTCTTGAATTCATGTGTTCAGGCTCACTTTGGTTACTCCAGGAAAGGCCTTGTCCATGTGCGCCATATTTGCCTACATTGGGGTGGTTGAAAAGGGGTCAATGTAGGCATATCTTCCAGTCCCATGGAGAGTTTGGGCATGGTTGCTGATGAACTTCAACATCCAAAACTCGTTGCCCTCCGGCCCATCGAGCTACGAAATAGATTCATCGAAGAGCTGCAGTGTTAACTTGTGCCTTTTTCCCGGACTGGCGTTCGGTGTAGGGCTCAGAGCCCGCCCTTTTCAGAGTGAAGCTGAGCAGACAGTTCTTCGTCAGGTTTGCGCCTATCCCAGGCACGACCGGGACTGGAACAAATTAAACGGTCTACGGTCTGCAACCAGACCCCCCAGACCAACCGTTCCCCGGACCGATCGGTCGAAATCAGACGTGGTGGACCGGGCGACCGGAGGACTTCTTCGATGACTTTGGGTCGTTATGGCCAGAGACCACCGTGACGGTGGGTTGGTTCCCTGGTGCTGGCTTGCCCGTTCACACTGACAATAGCCAGGCACGGAACGTCTTGATCGATGTAGGGTTTGGGTGTGCAATGGACTTGTTTACAGAACCAACATTTGTGATAGCACCATGCTGATGTTTGGATGGAGCCAAGCCTTTCTTTTTCTGGTAGCACGTTTCTGTTCATCAGGGTTTGGAATCTAACCTATCTCGGCTTTCCTTTGGATAGCCCAACCATGCCCTGGCAGTCAAAGACTATAAAAAGAATGGTTTTTAAGGGAACTGAAAGGAAACTTCCTTTACTCCAGCCGGTCAAAATATAGTCTTTGGACTTCTAGGGCATGGGGTTCCCATGGGCCGATCATGATCTGAACGAAAAGAGGTGACCCCTTGCAGGGATGGTTTTCATCCGCTGTTGGTGCTGGTCTTCTATCTTATCCACCCCATAGTCCAGCCCATCCTTTAGGAAGGTGTATTTGAATCAAAGACTATGTTTTCGGTGGAGAGTTAACAACTGAACTGTTCAATTTTTTTTGGAAGCTATTGCATTTGAGCCTCTAATATCTATATAAGGTTCCTTTTCGCTCACTTTTGGCCGCCCCGTTCCTTTTGGGATCGTGCGGGATAACACTTTTTTTCAGACAAAACAGACCACCTCCCCTTCCTCAGAGCGTGTCGCTCCGTGACATGTGACCGCACTTCCTTTTGACGATTCAGCGGTTGTTTTCATCGCGCAAGCTGGCTCAAGGACTACCTCTCTCAACGTCATGTCACGGTGGTGGTGTGGCTCAACGAGGTTGACGTGGATTTTCAAGGCCGGCGGAGTTCGTAGTCGGGGGTGCTTTGCCAATTGGAGTCGAAGGGCATCAGTGGTGCTTTTGCGGGGAGGTCCACAAGTAGGAGGGGTGGAATTTATTAACACGTGGTGTCCCAGCCAACCACCACTCAAAGGCAGGTAGCTCAATGTGTGTCTATGAAATGTCCAGGCTTACTTGTTCTGGAAAAGCTAGTACCTGCATGAGGGAGGAACTATAGTTCAACGATCTCCATGCAAAACCCTCTGAGATATATGTTGCCCAGCGACGGGGTTCCGAGTTCCGAGATCCCCTTATCCCAGACACGACGAATGGGACTGCCATGTCGGACTGCCTTCCAAACGGCCAGGAGTGGTGTCAGGGGGGGTCTGTCTGGGGCGGCATGCAGTCCCCTGGTCGTCGTGTCTGGGTGATTAATCAAACCGAGCTTGGTTTTGTCCCGCTCTGCCGGAGCTTGAAAACTCATCGTTTGGCATCGTTGGACTGATTTAGGCGACATGTCCAGTGCACGGCGATTCGTTGAAGTGTCCCGCATTTGGACGAATCGGGTCGATTCCATTGACATTCCCATCCGGAGAGCAGCCAGGCGTCGCCGACTGGTTTTGGGTGGTGAATGTAGGCCATATGTACGCCACCATGGATCCTCCGGGATTGAAATCCCACTTACTTATGTAGAAGGACCGTGATCATATCGCCACGGACCGATCGCGAGTTGTAGATCCGTGATGTTTGTCCCGGTTGCGAGCACCCAGGGCATCCAGATACCATAGACGGTCACCAGTGGTTCCAGTTCGACTAAAATCGACCCAAGGAATACATGGTTCCGGGATGCACTGGGATTTGTTTCTTTCGGTCTGATGACAGTTTGTCGGTTTTCCTCATTGACACGGTGTTCAGAAGCGAATCGAGGCGGCCATTTCTTCTTTGGCAGCGAGCCAGCCATCAGGTAGGTGCGGTGGGTGGGTTTCGATGCACACCCCGAAGTCAATTCGTATTTCTATGTTTTTCTTGGATGCGATTCGTTCCCGTGTTTTACTACCTGGACCCTTTAGAAAATGGGACATGACCCGAAGATCAGGTACTGGTACCATCTGGCAGCCCTTGTCTGAGTCGAAGCCGATCTCGATCTGCTTCGACTCGATGGAACCGGAAAACGGAGCCCATCAGATCCGACCAGAGAAGCACTGAGCATCTACCTGCTGCGCTTCCTGTTTCCTGGGTGTCCTGTTTGGTGACCTTCTAGGGGTGGCTGGGGTTGTCCAGCCAGGTCACCCCCGCTGACGGAAGCAGCTGGTTTTTTCGCCTCACATGTCAACTCGACATGTCCGATTCCATGAGGTGATGCCTTTTGAGCCTTTGTGGTCCTCCAGTATCTTTTCACAGGCATCTAGGTGTTGGATTTTTGGCTAGAAGGACGTTGGGGATGCAACCCTTAGGTTCCCATGTCAAAGAGCTGACGAGTGCGCAGAATCCCAGAGATGGGCTTTAAAAGTTCACTGTGCAAACTTCGAAAGATCGGGGTGAACATCAGGGCCCCTTGCCCTCTAAATCTCTAGAATGTCTTTATGAGGTGTGTTTGTGCCACAAATACATTGCAGACAAACTGTGATCATGTTGTCAACTGTGGTCAAGGAGGGGGAAGACGACCTTCGACCACGGCCTTTGGTTGGCATTTGTAAACCCCAACTTGGAACAAACGTGGGGAATAAAGACTGGTCGTGCACCGATGCTCACACCACCTGAGTCGAAAGGCGTCCGTGACAAGCATTGGGCGCAATGCGCGTCGAGACTCACCAGGCTTCAATTCAACTTCAAGTCACCCCATAGCCCCATCCCCACCCACCCCCACCCTCAACCATATTCACAACCATATTCACCATCCCCACCCACCCCATAGCCCCGCACCAGGCCGCAGCAGGGCAGCGCGGCCATCTTCGCGGCTGACGTGCCTCATGGCCTGCAGCCTGTTACCCAGGCAAGGCCTGCCGAAGACGGAGAGCTCGGGGCGAGGATGACCTCTCCAACCAGCTTGATAAGGACAGTCAAACCCATCACGACCCAAGGGATTTCCCTAATTCCAAACATAAATACAAGGTGGGAGAAGGACACTCCAGCTATTCACCGAGTTCAAGTGGTGATGGTGTGATGGGTCTCTTAGAACCCATCGAGGTCAATCTCAAGGCACTGGGATTCTCGGATTAGGCATACATATATACATATCCTGGGAGTCAAAGACTATACAAAGAATGGTCTTTAGGTGAACCAATATAAGGAAGTTCCTTTACTTCAGTCGGTCAAAATATCGTCGATCTGGACTTCTAGGGTATATATGACTTCTTGGGGTTGACAAAAGACCGGTTATTGCATGGTTTGCACAAGCCCCTCATCCGCCAGTGATTTGCTTGCAGCTACTGGAGGATCCTAAACATGCATGACATGAACACACATGAACATAATGAACACGTTGCTTACTTTGACCTGTTTTGCGTGTGAGGCCATACTTGGAGTCTTTGGGTTGGTGATTTTGTTGGTTAAAAAGTGAGCAAAGAAGCATGCAGGTGCGAGTGACATGTTCCCCCCTTGAGTGATATGTTAAATATCGGTTTTCGATGAGAATTCTACGTCACCTGGACTCTGAAGCATCAGTTCGGTGTCCTTTTTTCGACCGCCGAGCTGAACTCGCGCGCCCGCAGGGGCTCCGCATCTCCTTGAATGTGTGGTTCAGTCGGGAGCCCAACGCCTCGGAAGACACCCGGCTGTTGCAGAGACCCTTCAGCTGGGGCACCACGGCACAACGCCTTTGGGGACTGGGACCTCAGGAGGCATGGCCACCAGGCGGAAGCGGTGGGAAGATGGCGGAAGGCGGATGAAGATGGCGGGAACTCGGAGTGACGCTTGGTGAACCCCAGATCAACTGAGTAAGGCAAAGAGGACCAGAAAATGCCACCCTTTGGTGGTCCAAAATGAAGGTATATAGACTGGATCATCTCCTGGCCGTCGGGCAGTAACCCGAGATTCTCTTTCTTCGGGTGAACCGTAAAACAACAAACTCCTGCTACTCGTAGCTCCCCTCCCATCCGCAGGCGATGGCCATGGGAAGCTCTTGAGACACAGCTTGTCCTCGGTGAAAGCGCCGGCACGTGGACATCGACTGGGCCACCGTGGTGTGGATGGGAAGAAGACACCTGGGCGACAGCTGCTAAGGTGCCTCGAGAGCTGTCCGGAGCGGATCTTGAAGGGATGGAATGTAGGGCATGTTCCCGGTGCCTCGAAGACTCCACCAAGCATGGGTTCCTCCCAGAGCTGGGCGGTATAAACCGAACATCAACCACAGAGGGATTGAAATGTGTGTTTGATCATTTGATATTCGGTTGTTTTGTTAATATAGCATCCATTGTATGGAATGTTGTGCAGAGGCACACCGTTCACTTGTGTGTTTGTTGTGTGTGCAGCTTGGAGGAGAAGGTGTGAGATTTACTTGAAAAGCTGTTATGTGTTATTTATAGTTCCAGCAGGGCCTGCTACATTCCTGTTTTGTCAAACATTTCTTCAGTTGAGTATTCCCTTTTTCGTGGTCAATGACTTCTCGTCTCATCAACGAACCTTTTGCAATTCCAACACCACTTGGCAGGTTTGGAAAAAAATGAGGTTCGACTCCAAACCAAGCTTTGGAGATCCGTCCACCATGTTTCCCTTCGCACCAGCAGGTCCCTGGATGTCCCTCGTTCAGATCTGAGGGCTCCGGCGGCTCCGGCGGCACACCCAGGTCGCTTTGCCGCGGTCCATGCCCATCCAGCCCAAAGGATGTGCAGCGGGGAGGATTGATGGTAGCTGCCTTCCTTCGGCTGTTTGGAAGACGGGGAGACTTGGTGATGGCTTGCTGATATATGGGTCATACCAGGGCCCCCTAAGGGCTGGTTAATGGACACCCCTTAACCTCTAAGGAACTAGTATTGTTAATTCACAATATTTGGCCAAAGTGCGTTTGTTGCTACAAGACTTTTCAGGAAGCATCGTGCTCACATGCACCCGTCTGAATGTCTATCTTCCTTCCTGTCCAGCCATTGTCAGATCAAATCTCCTCCCCAATCAGCCTGGCCCACTTGCACTTCCAAACCTTGTCCCACGGATCCGGCATGAAATGCACGGCTGTTTTGAGAGCGTCCCGTGGGCGGAGCTGAGATCCCGTCCACTGGGCCTCCATGTGACTCCTGGTACTCCTGGTACTCATGTGACTCCTGTATCCCCTTAACGATCATGAAGCGGAAAAAAAGCGTCCGGGTTTGTAGAGAAACCATGCCATCCACTTCCATTTCTTGTTGGATAATTGCTGCGCATGAACAAGTAGAAACCACTGGAATTCAGGGCGACCAGTTGTTTGATATTTGTTGATGAAGCACTATCATCCATCCACTATAGTGAATTATCAAGACAGTCCATCAAGATCTAGATATTGATCGGACCATCACATTCAGATCATCTTATCAATACAAGTTCATGCTCAAGGATATACGTTTATGATCAACCCATCTTACCTTATCAGTTCATCTATCCATATCCACATGGATGTGTGGATGGTTCACACCATCATCCCCACTAAGGACAGCGCTGCTGTGGTTCCTGCCTTTGTCGCCTCGTGCGGCGGCGCGAGCGACTGGTGGCCAAACGGCTTGGCCTTTGGCACGACCAGGGCGGCTTGGCGAACTCGGACTCTCAGTCGAACTCGCCAGGGCATTCGATCCTGGTCATTCGATGCACAACCACTACTTCAACATCAGACTTCAGGAAGCTCAGAGAGCTCGCCATGCTTCACAGGTGAAGGTTTTTCCAAACACCATGGGCAGGGCAGCGTCCTGGGCGAGTCCAGCCACCCTGGCGCGCGCTCGCGCGCGCGGGGGAAGTCCCTCTCCGTCTCTTATGCGAGGTCTACTGTCGATGCCACGTTTCAGCCCCGCGAGCTGTGGCTGTGGCTCCCTGGAACGTCCACTACCGGGGCTGCTGCTGAAGCGCCAGGTGGTGAAGAAACAGGAAGAGGTCATCCGTCGAAGCCAGAGGCCAGAGCGAGAGGTGCGAGAGACAGACCAAGCAGTCATGTGGAAGGTTGATCTTTGGAATGAAGCTGTTACACCCAAGTCCAGATGGCATCGATCCCAACGACGACTTGAGTTGACCTGGAACTCAGTTCCAAAGGTTTTTTCGGTCGACGGTTGGTCTTACCGATCGATTCCGAGCGATTCCATGATCGATTCCTTTTGGCCGATTCCGATTCCATGGTTTTCCGTTTTTTCGTTCCGGTTTTGGTCGATTCAGGTTTGTCGCCAAGGGGGATCATGGAATTGACCAGTCCAAAACCCGAGCCATCCACCCCAGCCCCTCCGACCCCCGCACCAACCACTCGAGGCTGCTGCGGCGGCAAAACCAGGCGATGCGCTTTGGACAGCTGCCACACTGGGCCCAGCGCCTGGCACGGAGGTGCCTCGCCCTTCGCTCCTCTGAGCCGACCCGTGGCTGACGAGTCACATGAATCTCTGGAGCATGCGGGATGGAGATCCCTTTTAAAGTAGTTGTAGATGTTGAGCCAGGACACCCAAACTTGAGGATGATCCATGGGGAGTTTCTCATTGTTTTTTTTTTTTTCCCAGGTATTCTCAGGTATACCATCCAGGTATACCATGGATCTCCCTACTGCCGTGCGATTCGACGGACGCGCGGGATCCCGTGGATCTCAGTTCCTCAGCATCCCTCCGCTGACGATCTTCGAGTCTCAACGAGGTGTGCGCCCACCCCGGCGTTCCGTGTGCCATATGACCAGCTCATTGTGCCTCGGTCACATGAGATTGAATCAGCCTCACTCCACGAAATTGATGGCAGGGGAGGGGTTGATGTCATAGATATGATTTCATGTTGTACAATTTAAAGATTGTAGGTTTGGGATGGTTTGGGTATGTTTGGGTTGGGGTTGAGGACCACCCTGTGACCACCTGGGTTTGCTTTGAAGTGCGTGACATGTGTTTTGTTTTTTTTGAGAACTCTTAGGATCCAAGACTCAAAATGAGTCAAAAGGATCCATTAGGTCATTGGATGATGGTTCATTCATGTTCATTCACATTTGTTCATATGATGCCCTAATGGATCCATGAGTCATTAGGTCATGTACAATCAAAATTTTTAATGTTTCATATGTGTTCCAATATAGTTCATTCACCATGACTCAATGACCATCCATGACCTATTTTTGTTGCCACTCCTGTGATAAGGTGAATGCCTATGACCCGGGTGAGGCGGGAGCTTTGGGGAGTCGCTTGGGGTTGCTTCTGGAGGCAGCAACTGTTTTTTTTGGATTTGCAAACATGTTATTTGAAATTAATTTGATCATTCATGTGTGTTCCCTTGCTTCTTCAATGATGAATGCTAAATGAATGCCATGAGGCTCCGTTCGGTTGTTCATGAAGCCCAAACGCCCAAACGCCCAACACGACGTGCTGGTCAGATGGACCACTAGAACACCGAAGGAGTCGAACCCCCCGCTTCGGCCGCTTCGAGAATCGAACGAAAGCGAAGACGGGGGGGAGTTGATCTGAAGCTGAGAGCAGCAGAACAGTTAGAAAGCGTTCTTGTGTTTGTGCGTTGTTTTTGGTTTTGTCTCAGGCACTTGTTCTGCCGAACCAGGTACTAGTACTGTAAAACGTTCTTCAAACGATGTGTTGTTTCCTGCGGAAGTCTCTTGCAATTTTGTTGCGCCAGTGCAGACACCCAAGACATCCAAAGACCCCAGTTCCAAGCATGACAGAAAGCACCTGGCTCTTCTTTTGGCAGCTCCCATCAACCTCGAACGAACTTGACCTCAGATCAGCTCACATCGTCCAATTCCTTTGGTGGGTTTCTTCATCCTTCACGACCTCCGGTCGGGCCCTGCTCCGCTGCTCGGCTGCTCGGTTCCTGCGGGTGAGGGCATCTTGCCGCACATTGACCTCTTAAAGTTCGATCGTCACGTCCTGGGCCTCAGCCTCTGCTCCGAGGCCACGATGATCTTCCGGCGCCTGAGCGGAGGAGGAGAGGAAGACGGAGAGCGGAGCGTTTAGAGTCCCCAAATAGATAGAAACGGTTTTATACATTTTTAGTGGGGATTTACTTTAATTCATGTTAAATTCCAATGTGCTATAGATGTTTAGATATTTGATATTTGGGGGTTGTATAAGGAGATGGAGATCGGGACGTGGAGTTGGGCCGGAGGTTTTGGGGGTTTGGAGAGCCGAAACCCCGTAGTGGCAGGATTCGATGGGAAAAGGGATGATGGATGATGCTCAGTCTCACGGTGGATTTCTTAGAAGCCTTGTTGTACTTTAAGGCCTTCAAAGAAAGAAATCAGCCGGATGCATGTTTAATCAACCCAAACTTCCTAGCCAGGCACCCTGAAATACTAGGATGTTCCCCAGGATGTTGACATCAAGTATAGATCTCGTAGACGTTGACCACAGAACAACCCGGTGTCCGGCACCTGCTTCCGGTGTCCGGCACCGTCGCACGGGCTGGGCGCCGATGATGCGTCGCAGTCAGGCAGATCCGCCCCAGCGCCTTGCCGGTGAAGTCAGGCCACGAGTTTTCGCGGAGTGGACGTGGAGCGCTTGCACCATGTGGGGTGTGTGGAGGTGTGTGAGGTGTGTGAGGTGTGGGCAGGGGGGTGTGCCAGGACCTTTGAAGGGGGGGTGAATGACATCCCTTGACCCCTAAGTATACTATAGGGGCTAGTCATGGACACCCGAAATCCGTGGTGCTGGTGTGGGGGTGTGGAGGTCGGTGGCAGCTTTTGGTGTCACGAACCCAAGCGCATCCAAATGCAAGCACCACTTCGACGTGTCTTTAAGTTTTGCGGGTCGAATGGTTCTGTATCTTGTTCATGATCCTTTGGTTTGGTCTGACCAGTAGGCTGTTTCCAGTCTGATCTCGCGATCCCAGTGTATGCAGTGTGCAGTGGAGGCCACTAAGAACCAAATCCATCCAATTTGTTTTGGAAGACATCAAATCAAAACCATTGTCCCACAAAGCATTTTGAGTGAATCCCGACCTGTGATTCCCCACCTGTAGTCCCACCTGTATATAAATCCAATTAAATCTATAATGTTGTGAACCTAAACAAACATATTATGGTCTTGGAATGACCTTCATATTCTCCAAAACAGACATCACATGACATCACATGACTCATCTAACCCCAGAGCAAAAAGGAACAGACATGAATGACATGAAACGTCTTGTTGACCCAACACTGAAACACCACTCAAACTCCAATATTTCGAGAATTTTGGGTTCCCGAAGAGTCCCACCCCAACGAGAAAGCAAACCAAAAGGCGTCCCTGTTGCGACCCCCCCCCTGTTTGTTGCACTGCAGTCGCTTTCTTCCGTGCGCGAACGCCGCGCGCGTGAAGCGTGCGCGCGCGCGGAGGTCAAGAGTGTTGCCTGGAACAGGACACCGACCGGACCGTCCAAGTGCAGCTCAGACCAGGCGACGTCTATGCGCTCAGAGGAGCTGCCAGGCGACCGGGAGGGGCGCAGGCAGCATGGCGCAGCGTCAGATGAGGTTTGGAAGGGAATGGGATCAGTTGAGAGGTGGGCAGCTTGATTGTTTGGCCACCCCATGTTTCAAGCACCTGTCACCTTTTTCTCACTCTGTGCGGCCGGTGATCTTGAATTCCCTTTGATGCATTGTATATTGGTTGGACCTGTAGAAGGTGGCTTCATCTTGCATCAGTTAGAGGTCTGGATTTTCGAGGATGAAGTTGAGTAAGTTGTGCATGAAAGGGTTTGAGTTGTATGGACCCGACAGAGGGTGCTGTGCTCCTTGCTTCCTGGGCATGGCCTGGGTTGGGTTCTCAAAAGGCTTTTCATCTGGCTGTAGGGTAGGCAGAAGATCGAGAAGATCTAACCTTTTGGCCTTCTGCAACCTCAGAATGTGTCGAAAATCCAATCTCAGAGGACGAAGGGGCGCGCTGTTTGGGGCTCCAAGCTGCTATGCCTGTGGTGACCATGGGCCGCAGATTGGCAGAACGGGCCGGCCATGTTGCAGATTGTGGGCCTCTCAGGTGAACGGTTATTGGGCCTCTCAGGTGAGGAGGCACGAGCCATCCTGGAAAGCAGCAAACCTGCGACCTGGCCATATGATTTTGTTATAGAAATACTATACAAAAAGAAACGACAAGAAGTCACAATATTCCAGGACCCTCCGTTTGGGGTGTCTATTTATAGCCCCTTATATAGCCGATAATTAAGGGGTGTCCATGTCTACCACCCCTTGAAGGCCCTGTTGATGGCCCACCTTGTTGGACTTTGAAGCTGTGCGAGGTCGCCGCCAGCTAGATTGATTGCCCAAACACACAGACAAAAGATGACAAAGACATATATGTTTGAGTTATTTTGTGTTTGTGTGTTTTTCTAGCAAGGCTTTCCTGGGATAGCTTGGGGATTGTGCTCTCAATCTGTTGTTTCCTCCAGCGTGCCAGCTGTACCTTAGCCTGGTGCTTCTTGGCTAGTCCGACGACCGACCGAGTCAGGTGAAGGCATTAAAAGCCTTGCTCGAAGATCAACTTGGGTACTCCAGGTTTCGGCAGAGACTCTTGCAGGAAAGTGCCGAGCTACATGATGATGCTCCCATTGAGTCTCTGCCGTTGACTTTGCAGTTGGTCATCATGAACTTCCAACCCCCAGATGAGGTCAGGGACCACTTCTTCCTGAATCTCTGTGCGAGGAATTTGTCGCAGGAGGTTGAAGGTCTGCTTCAGACGTTGCAAGACCCAAACACTCGTGTGGCAGAATCTGACCGAACAGCCTTGCACGTGGCTGCAAAGCATGGCCACTTTGAGGTGCTTCGATTGCTCCTTGAGGCTTGTGCTGACAAAGATGCAAAGGAGCAAGAGGGCACAACAGCCTTGCATTGGGCCGCTGGGAACATTCACTTGGAAGCGCTGCGATTGTTGCTGGAGAGTGGTGTTGACAAAGATGCTGCAGAGGTAGATGGCACAACAGCCCTCCATAGGGCAGCCAGGAAGGGTGACTTGGAAGTAGTTCGATTGCTGCTGGAGGCTCGGGTTGACAAAGAGGCCACAGCACGAGGTGGCAGAACAGCCTTGCATGAAGCAGCTTGGAAGGGTTGCTTCGAAGTGGTGCGATTGCTGCTGGAAAGCGGTGCTGACAAAGATGCTGCAGAGGCAGATGGCACAACAGCCCTGCATGGGGCAGCCCGGAATGGTTTCTTGGAAGTGGTTCGATTGCTTCTGCAGGCTCGAGCTGACAAAGATGCCACCAGGCAAGGTGGAAGGTCAGCCTTGAACGAAGCAGCGGGGAATAGTCACTTTGAAGTTCTCCAATTGCTGCTGGATGGAGAGTGAGCGATCAGACGCTACGAACGGAGCATTTCGGGCATCGCTACGAACGGAGCATTTCGGGCATCGCTGCGAACGTAGCTCCTGGCCTTACTACGAACGGAGCGATCGGATGCTGCGAACGGAGCGATGTTGGCACTGCTGGCACGCCGGGAGCCCAGGATCCGCCGGACACGAATTCCGGAGATCAGGAGACGACGATCCGGCGCTCCCAGCGAGCCCAGGGAGCCAAGAACCGGAGACGCCCCGGGGCGAGCAGGGCTGCGAAGGATAAGACGCATGTTTGACATGGACGTGCTTGTGGAATCTTCCAGAGGGTTTCGTCACGTTTGCTCACTCTCATCCTTGGTCTTGAGAAGTTTTGCCGCCATGATCCCAAAGATTTCACTGGCTTTAAGGCCGCAAGTGAAGCCACGGCCGCTGGCAGCCTGGACTGGTGATTGAAGTGGTTCGATTGTTTCTGGAGGCTCGGGTTGACATAGACGAACAACCTCACGCGAAGTCACAGAACCACCGAAAAGAGGAAAAAGCAGGGTTGCGGGTTGCGAGGTTGTGAGGTCAAGCGGTGAAATTGCTGCTGAAGAAAAGAAGCGCGCTGAGCCCACACCACGGAGGTGTCAAAAACAAATTGCAGGTATTGACAGTTGAAAGCGTTTGAAAGCCGAGCCGTCAGAAATACCTGCAATCTCCTGCAATATTGCTCACACCTCCAGGTATTTTTAAATACCTGTTGTTCACACCTCCGTTGTTCCTTCAGCCGTGTTCGAAACGGAATCACTCCGATGTCCGATCCCATGCTCCGCGGACATCCTCGCTGTTCGCCGTTTTGGGATGAGCGGAGAGAACACGAAAGCCGTCGGTGGCTCCTGTTTGGGATCATGTGTGATCCCCACGTAAGCTGTTCCTAAGCTGCAAAAAGCGCAGTTCCAATCAAAGTACCTGGGTGATATACAGCGTTTTCAGTGGTTTGATGGCACAAGTTACCCCAAGTTTGGTGGTTTAGGTGGTTATATGGACCTATATGGCGTATATGGACCCCGATATTCAAGACATCTTGGGGTGCCAGTGCCATCTACTCTCAATCCGCTATACCTGTTTGGCCCATGCTTGTCATGTTGATCCTTTTCTCTTGGAAGGCGAACGAGGAGACAAACTGCTGTCACCTGTGGTCCACGCCTGTGGTTCTGGTATGTTCTGGACGAGGATACTCTTCCAAAGGCCTCATGTTTACTTCAGGTCAGAAAAGTGAAGTCAAATGTTTCATGATGTTTCGTATATCCCTCGTAGCCAATGTGCCCACATTGGCCCAGGGTCCCAGTTTGCTTCCATTACTTGAACATTGATAGCTGTGACATTAAGATGACCCGTCATGTTCCATCATTGTTGATTTGAGCTGTTTCACCAAATTTGTCGTTTATAGCACGTTTTAAAAGGTCACACACTTAAGATATCTTAAGATTACCTTATATTACCTTGAGAAGGACATCATGTATGTCACACGAAAACAAGTTGTTCAAAGACCACTTACCATTTGGGAGCTAGGACCACCACTCACCATCTGCGAGGTCAATCTAGGTCTCTACCTTTAACAGTTTCACATACCCCTGGCCAACGCGATGTTTGGGATCTGTTCTACCCTCACGTTGGGCTTTGTTCCGCTTCACCAGCGCCCAGATGTCTCGGTGGGTGGCCATGCCAGGTACCAATGGACTCATGAGATCTCTCCCGTCACTCAACGTCGCATCAGCAGGGTCCCCAGCATGGATGTCGGTGGTTTTTTTCGGCCTGAGGATGGAAAGCAATGAGAAGAGTCCTGGATAAGGACTGACCTGGATCCCGAACTACACCCTGACCTGATGGAGTAGTGATTATCTATGTGGTGATTCACTTCTCACATCACTAATCCAGGCACTTTCTTCCATGTCGTGGGGTTGCCAAGATCAGATCTGAACAAGCAGAAAGACTCGGTGATCTCACCAAAATGGGGGGGCATATGGGGGGCACCAGGTCTGTTGATTTCGCTTCAGCTTTTGCATGTGGATGCAATCCCGCTTCCTTGGCGTTTGCCCAAGCTCCGCGCTCCGCTCGTGGTGTGTCTCATGGCCCGTTCAAGACGATCGTGGCTGCTGGCCCTTGGGGCTCTTGGGGCACTCTGGGCTGCCGCACCAGACCCCACATTTACGTGGCGCGGTGCAATGCGACGCGCTGCGTTGTGGGGCGAAAACGGGTTGATTGCAGGGCCAGATCACGTGGTGAGAGTATTGCACCAGCAATTCAGCACTTCTTCCAAAATGGCTGTTCGGTCTGTGACTGCTTGGCTTTTCCAGAAGTGAAACCAATCCATCGACGAACGCAACGGTGCTGCCACCTGCAGCTCTTGTCGTCTCGTCAACGTCCCATCCGGTGCGGAAGGGGTCGATCCGCAGGGAAGGGGTCGATTCCAAGCTGTTTAGGCGGACATATGGAAGGTAGGACACGTCCAGAAAAACGATGAGGTCAAGTTCTTCAGTTTGTCTTTCATTGCCTCAGGACATCTACTGTAACTTGGTGAACTGGAAAGATGTTGTTGTTTTGTTGAGAGGGGCCCTGCTACTTTGTTTTGGACTAGACGATCAAGTTAGAAGGTGGCCCGTTTCTTTGTGTTCAGCATGTTCTACGGGTACATTCTTCTGGGTTACTGTGTTCCTGAGTGATCTCTAGTAGTTTTAGGAGGTCGAGACATGGATGATCCCTGCAGAGACGCCGAACAAACCGGATCACCGCCACCAGACATGCTTCCTTTGAGGCCGCCAGTTGCTCATGAGGAGCCGCTCCCCTTTCCGGTCTCCAGAAGCCTCTCAGTGCTCTTGGGCTTGGGGATCCTGAGCTCATCAGCGACGCCGGTGCGGAGTAGTAGTTAGTACTTAGTGGCAAGTAGTAAGGTAGTAGGTAGTAGGTAGCAGGTAGCAGGTAGTAGGTAGTTCGTAGTAGGTAGTAGGTAGTAGGTAGTTAGTAGTAGGTAGTTCTTAAATGTTATTATTATTATTAGTAGTAGTAATTTTTGTATATTTTTGTAGTAGTAGTAGTAGTAGTAGTAGTAGTAGTAGTAGTAGTAGTAGTAGTAGTAGT